AAAACTACCAAACGCATCATTCTAAGTTGACATTTTCTTTGGAGGCTTCTAATGTGGATTTAGTTTCAGCCAGCTATTAGTCTACGTGTCTTAGGTTATTCCCCACAGTTAGTTCGTTTAGAGATTCGTGACCTTTAACTGCAAGTTTTCTAACGTTCACTTTCTACCATGTCTCAGCACGAAGTTTACGTTGCCCGCAGTTCATTTACTTGGGAGTACGCGATGCAGCGCTACTCGGAGAATTATGCCTTTCACTACTGGAGCAAAGTCGAATGTATGTTTAATGCTTTTTATTTTAATTTTTCAAGAGTATTTATTTTTCTAATTTAATTAAATATCGTAGCTGAAACATTTGCTGATGACCGAAACTGGAATCGTATGACTCGGGATATGAAGATCAAGGATGCGTGCTCTTGGAAAGGTAACTTTTTTATTGCATATTTTCAGTTTTGTAATAAAACACGTAGGTGCGTTGAAAACACTTCATATGTTATAAAGTTATAAAAACGAAAAAAGGTAAATTTCAAAAACATATATACGATTTTTAGCACGCATGTGGGGATGGCGCGAATTTTTCTTGGACAACATTGCGTCAAAGAGCGAACCCTACTGGCAGCAGGGATTTACCAACACGGAGAAGATTTTGGTAATTAAGATGTTTTTAGAGATGAATTTATAAATGAACCACAAATATATATATATGTTGGCATTATCTAAGAATTAATAAAATTGTTGAATATTAATTTTTGGTGAATAATCATTTTTCCATAGATGTATCAGAAATTTATAAATATCTTTAAATTATTAGTTATTTTTTGCAGCGGGAAATTGACATTTTCCAAATCGCTGAAGAAATTCCGTTTTTCAACCCTACGCCTGTGCGCCCCCCTGTCCCTAGCCTTTCTGACTATGTGCCATCTTGCTGTCTACCTGTTCCCTACTGTGCGCCCTCCACATCAGCCCAACCCATTTCTCCCAGTGTGCCTTCCTGCTGTTTCCCCGTTCCGTACTGTGCGCCCTCCACATCTGCACACGTAAGCTACACTCCCCCTGATGAAGACATCTTGTATACTCCGAATGTCTCGCCCACCCCCCCTGCCGATGCCGACCAATCCATGGCTACTATTAGCGCTGCTGCCAATGCCGTGGATTGGTCGGAGTCAGACCCATCAACTAGCTCGGACGAGTTGTCGGAGAACTTCGATGCCGACACCGAAAGTTTCTCCGACAACCCTTTCGACACAGATGATAGTTCTGACTCCGACGACTCCTTGTTGAATGCTAGCTATGACTCCTGTAACTCGTGGCCGTGGGCCGACTCAGAAAAGTCTGTGGTTGATGCTTTGGTTGATAGCGTAAATGACGAAATTAATAAGAAACGTAAATTAGCCGAACTGAATGATCCAAATTTCGATCCAGAGTTCAATTCTGACTCTGAATCGAATTCGGAAAGCGAATTCCCAGCGTTAAAAAAACTAAATACTGTTGATTTTTTTGGTAAACGGGCGGCAAAACATTTGTTATTCTTTTGTTTATTGCTAACCAAAAAAATGTTTTCCGATAGTAACTGTGTTTGCATGTTACACAACGATTTAGTTGCATGTACTGACTACTAATATTGTTAATACCTGTTGGATTTGTTTAATAAAATGTGTGGGAATTTTGCGGCAGTGATTAGAAAAATGAAATAAGAAAATAAACCCTCCCATCTTAACTCCATCGTATCATAATGCGACCTAATATCAGTCAGACCCGGCTTCGCTGGCGTTTCAGCGCTCCCCCGCCGATAGCCAACCCCGGGCGTTAGTCCCCAGGCGTCAACTACCAGCAGGCGCACGCATCCAGGCCTCCGCTGAGTAGTGCCGATAGCAGGTGCACTATGAGACGATGCGCGGACCGACAGCCAGATTTAGAAAAGAACAGTGAGACAGATCGGCAATGCAGTTTAGCTTACCTGTTTGACGAGAGTGTAGCAAATAATAATCCAAATAGACAATTAAACAAACAAGCAAAACTAGCACACAGGTTACAGTACAAATAACTATACAGTATAACAGATATCAAAAACAACCACATGAATAACACTAAGAAACTACGTAGTACAGTACAATGATGAAATATCCAAGTATATTCCACTTGATCACGATCCCGACTGAACAACTATACGATAGTCAGTGGGTTTTTAAAGGCCTTTGGGCAGTGGCCGGTTGCGCTGAACGGAGGCATCCAGAGAGCTGCTGGCTACTGCAGCAACAATGACGGCGCGCCGGTGGCGCGCCACCAGGTGCGCGCACAATAGATGTTATGCACTAGCACACAATACCCGACTGCGTTAAGCCGAGGCGTCCAGAGCACTGCTGATCATTGCATTCACAGACATGTCGCGTCACTGGCTACATGCTCCATTCAAGCGGTGGCCCACTTTGCAACAGCCACAATTGTTGGTCGCCGAAGTCCAGACTCCTGTAAGCTGACCATTGTGTGCTAGCCGGTGGCGCGACATGTTTGTCACCGCAGCGATCAACAGCGTTCTGGATGTCTCGGCTTAAAGCAGACGGGTATTATGTGTTGGCATTATCGTTATCATTATTATTAGTTATTATAAGTATTAGTTATTATCATTATTTAATATTAGTATTTGTGGTGATTTATAGGTAGTCATAATGCATTAATAAGTAAAAAACCACACAGGATCCACCTCTGATGCTGAATTACTTATGTTTCAAATAAATACTTGTTTACGTAGTGTTTATTGTTTGTTAACTGTATGTTTGTTGTTTGTATGGTCACCAGTTGTTTATTTGGTGACCATTTCAACGCTTCTTTTCTTCTTACGTTGATTTTGACTGTCTGCTACCAAAAAATCGGGTGGAAAAACCGAAGCATGGAGGGTCCAGGCTGGTATTGTCAAGAGGAAACGTGGTGCTAAAGCTGAATGAGGTGCGTGCAGTCGTCGACTCCTTCACCTCTTGGATTCGCGCCTTCTCTGTGTTCCTGGCTTACCGCGTCACAATCATGCCGGAGCTAGCAACAGCCCTAGCCAAATACCAAGATCTGATTGCGGCATACGTCGACCGGGGGGTTCCAACCGCCCACTGGCTCGAGTATGACCGGCAATTCAGATCGCTCATGACCAGCCACCCTGATGAAGTCGAAATGTGGGCACGCCAGCACGACGACACGTACGCTGATTATATTCAAAACGCCGTCCCCGAGGAGGCCGCCAGTGACAGCGCCCCTGAGGGCAAACCGAAGAAGTTAGCAGCATCGACGGACAAATGCCGAAACTGCGGAGAAATGTCATTCTAAAGCTAAATCATTTGTTTACATTGTTCTGAAAACCGTTTGCACGCGCAACATCCGGTTGCCGAGATATGGTGCAACAAAATGGGCGAAAAGTTTAAATGCATTGCCGTGTACGAAAAGTCTGGTTATTACCCGATCTTCTTGAAACTTTGCTATAAAAGACGCATGACCATAAGGTCTAAAGTGAACCAATATCAGATTCACAGCAATTTGTTTCAATTTTAAAATGAATTTCAAAAATTTTAAAATTCATTTTAAAATTATGTGAAAGTGCTATGAACCTGAAATTGGTTCACTTTCGACCTTATGGTCATGTGTCTTCTACAGCAAAGTTTCGAGAAGATCGGGTAATAACCAGACTTTTGGTGCACGACAATGCATTTCAACTTTTCGCCCATTTTGTTGCACTATATCTCGGCAACCGGATGTTGCGCGCGCAAACTGTTTTCAGAACAATGTAAACAAATGATTTAGCTTTAGAACGGAAGTTTTATAAAAAAGTGATTCGGAGTGAGCGCAAGCGAAACTTTTTAGTGTATGTATACCATTTTGGACGCTATGTACCGGGCCATTTCCCTTAAGAAGCCGAATTGGCTCGCGTGCTGTATCATACGGGGGAAAATTCGCTTCTTTATAAGCCTTATATACTTTCCGCGGAAGCGAATGTTGTTTAACCAGTGTAGAGAACCTCTGAATGTTCAACTCTACGTTTGTACGAGTATAACACAGTTGCATACAGGTAGCCGGATGCTCTTTGATGCAGATCAAAACATCGGCAAATCTTATAGCGAGCAACGTTAACGCTGCTTGTCCAAATGGTAATCAATCTTATGTGAAAGTATAACTCAACAGAATATTCTTACCTTATTAGCCTTCCAGTACTAATCAAGACAGCAATCACAATTTAAAAACAATTTTCAACATAAAGTTTTATAAAAAAGTGATTCGTAGTGCGCGCAAGCGAAAGTTTTTGTGTATGTATACCATTTTGGACGCTTTGTACCGGGCCATTTTCCTTAAAGATTGAATGTTATAGAGAAGTGTGTTTATTAAAGAAGTGTATTTAAAAAGAGGTTTAACTGTATGACGATTCTTCGATTCTTCAGTCTGGTACGCGTGGGCATGTGAGAAATACACTGCCGGTTTACGTTCTAGCTGGTGTTTTCATTGACCTTTATTAGCGTAGTAGTTAGTTATTAAATTGATAGTGCTTTGAAACCATCCACATCTGAATGGTAGTAAACGGCTTCCCGCCGGTGTCAACGTCAACGGGCAGATAACCGCTAAAGTCGAGTGCATGTAACTGTAAGCAACAATCGGTGGCCTAGACCCGCACGATAGTGATTGTAGAAAATTTATGAATTTTAGGCTAATTTATACTAAATTTTTCGCAATTTCGGGTGTGGAATTTGTGTAGTTAGTTGGTCTTCGCAAATTGCAGCGGAAGTATCGCGAAGATGCGTTTTAGGGACTTCCGGTGTGTTTTTTCGGGATGAAATGCACATCATTTGTACATCATTTGCACCTTATATATGGCATAATTACGCAACAAAAATCATTTTTATCGCATTTGCCCTGCAGTTCTATACGGTTACTTCTTAGAGTCTGCCCCACCATAGCATTTTGCAATTACGTTTTTATTCTCCTTAAAGAAATGACACTCATTCACCGGAAAATGTTATTAATTTGTGAAAAATTCTAACATCACAACCAATGTTTTGGATTTCCAAAATTCAGATTCGTTACCTTCACAAATCAAACGCTAAAACAGTAATGAAAATTATCAGTGATGCCATTGTTTATAAAATTGACACGGATATCCAAGTTAAGCCATCCAAGGTACTTAAAGTTTTCTTTGGTTTGTCGTATCTTGCAGTTGCTACTATGTTTGAAAAAGGAATTGGGTCTGCCCAAACCCGGTCGAACCAACGCGTCGTCTATCAATAAATTCTCCTCAAAATCTGTAATTAGAAAAAAATGATAGCAACATTTTACAAACAAAATCTTTGAGAGCCTGATTTTTAATAATTTTCCTGTAAATCTGGAATTCCAAAACTATTACCTTGAAAAAAATCGTAACAAAGATATCGTTCCTGTTTTGGTTGCGCGCTCACGCTTAGAATCTGTAAAAACAAATACGTAGTTGTGAAAAAGTGTTTGAAAGTAGCAAGCGATGTTGTCCCTTCATTATGCAACGTCAAGACATTAATAATAAAGTGGGTTCACTTTATTTAACCATTAAAATTTACAGCCACGAAAAAGTTTGCATACCTGCTAGAGCTATACCGCTTTTCAATCACCTTCACAAGCTACGGAAATCCAAGAGTCATGCAGCTGATATTCCCTGCAGTATATACAAAAAACATTGAGAAATTGGACGAGAGTCTGCTACTCATTAGTCACTGTAATTTCTGGATTTCCCAAATTTATGCTGTCTGAGTTTATCCCGTAATAGATTACCTGAATAATTTAATGCAGAGACATTCCCGTCCGAAAGCCAGTATGCTTTTTTGGCCGCAGGAACATCAGTAATGCGCAGAACCTACGATAGAAGAATTATTTGGAAAACGAAGCTGCAGATTGTATATAAATATCAAACACGTTAAGATTCAAAAGTTTTGATTTAGGTAATTATTTAAGTATTCAAATAACGCAGTTACCGACTCACCAGTATTGGACGCTTTCTTCTCAGTTCACACTGTGTGTATGCTGAAAGGCATGGATATCCAGTTTTCGAAAGCATCTGCAACTGATCACGTTTAAGGTTAACAAACTGTTACTACACTGTAAAAAAAAAGCAATTTTTACCATAATCCATCGTTTTATTCAGAAAAATGGAAGAACAATTGAAAAGTCAGAAATCAAATCTGGAGCTTAAAAATTCAGACTGATCAACTAACTTTTGCTTCCGCAACGGCAAACTGCTTCTTCACTATCAGTGAACGAAATGAACTTGCTGAAAATGTTCCGCCAATCAAAAAAGAGGGCCGTCCCAGTAGTAAACTGCCTAATTTCTTTGGGTTTATTTGATTTGATTCATAATTTAATGAGTTATTAATCAGTTTTATCAAAACTTATCAAAAAATTTTAAAGCCCATACGTGTTGTAAAATAAAATCAAATTTGTCAATATCAGAATTAGATAAAAATAATTATTATTGACATTCTTACCTTATGGCGCTGCGTGCAGATTGAATCAAATCAAGTCAGCAATTCATCACAGCTCCAGGAAATCCAAGTTTGTTTCCTCAATTTATTATTGTCAGGAGTTGCTTGGCAAAAGCACCATCATGAAATCCAAGTAACATTGGGAACAAAAGGAAGAACGACGGTACTTGGACGATATGGTTGATTGCTGGGAAATCCAACAATATTTGACGTATTCTACAAGGCATAAGAACGCAGAAAATTATTTGCGTTTTTATGGCTTTTTGCAGAACTCAAAATTTTACTTGCGGATTCAGTGTGGGCATACTGCTGTCGCCACAGGGCGGACGCAACGCTATCGTGCGGGAGAGCCGCCCCCGCATAAATAGCAAGCGAAGACGCAGCTGTCATTCAAATTTCGTAATTAGCGGCATCACTTGCATCCCAGTATTACATGCTCAAATGAGCACTAAAATTTCAATAAATCTTATATTAGATTAATGTTTACATGTGCAGGCTTACTACAACCGGCACAAAGTACAATGGGACTCATTAAAAACAGAATATTCAGTAGATTGCGTTTTGCACGGCGCTACGATTAACGGCAAAATTAACGACGATTTTAACGTTGATAATTTAAGTCTTCGTAAAAGCGAAAAAGAGGTTGCGTTTTAGTTTTAAAGTCTTACAACTTTAACGGGACGAAATTGATGAGTTTTATTTTTCCAAACATTCATTTTCAAATTTCTTTAGTAATAAGAAATATCAAAAATTTTATTTTGCAGCGTAAAAAATCTACGCTTTTTTGGTGGGTTAGAATATCAAGCAGAAACGGAATTATAATTTCCAGGTTGTCAAAGCCCACAGTATTCCATTCTGGAATACATGCGCACCGTTTGGTGCTGCTGTAAAGCGTTGCATTTCTTACATTGCACTGGTCATTGGGTAACCCTTAATTATACTATAATTATGTACTAATCTTATAACTGTATTATAATTAGTCAATAAATTTAAAGCTCCATTTGAGAAATCATTTTGGTTTCAGCGGGTAAAGAAACCAGTAGCAGCAGTGCAACGGTCGGGGGTTGCAGTTTCTGAAAATTCGAGTCGAGTGGGCAACTCAGGATCTGAGTATTGAATGTCCAGGCAGAAAGCCACTGGGCAGACTGTCCTGTCTACGCAGCGTTCGTGCTCAGTGGTCTATGTATGTGAGGCCAGTCGTTTATCACTGATTCTCCACTTCGTTATTAACGAAACGATACCCTCTTCGTTTCGTTAATAGCGACGAGTGCTGCCGTTTAAATGTTCGTTAATTGTACCCCGCCGTTATTTCTATTGTCCATCGTATGCCCTCGTTGATACCGCAACCTGCTTATCATCAACTTAAGTCCAACGCTGATCGTTACCTTCGACTGCATATGTAAAACTTGAGGTGACCGATAATTAAAGGTTTTGGGTTATCTGTTGTTTGGAAAACAGAATATTATGCAATGATAAGAACAGTTGCTGGAAAAAAGGCCGTTCTTGTATTACGCTTGTGTGCGCATGTTTATATACTAGTAACTCTGTACAAGAAGCCTCTTTTTTTCGTGCAACGCCAGCAACGGTGCAGTTTCGCATCAGCATCGACCTTCTCTTTCGCCGGACCAAAGTTCAGTGCACTTAGAGACACAACATTATTATGGGAGTTACCAGACCTGAACAGTTTTGGAAAATCAACCCACCGTCAGCGTTACGCTTTACAGGGAGCGTGCGCGTTACACTTTTTCTGCAGGTAAACCTAGTTTAACGTTATTTTTCCCGCTACGTTACAATGCAAAATACATAGATTTTTGGCAGCATTACGTTACAGAACGCTTTTCAGGTAGCGCGTTACGCTTCAACGTTATGTTATAGCGCAATAACGCGGAAATAACGCGCGTTTCGTTAACTCGTTAAAAAATAACGGCCCAGGTCTGGTAGTTACCATTCAGACATCAAACGCTAATCACTTTGAATTTAAGTTACTGCCCTGCGTTCAACCATCGTTGTTATATAGGCAACACGCTGACACTTCCAACTGCTTACAAACTACGAATAATTTATTCGCGTTGTGAGAAAAAAAATTTTATACACATTCTACATAAATCGTGAGAAACTGAAAACACAAGCGAGCTACACAGCAACATCAAACGCAGGCGGACGAATAACAGAAAACATTTCGTCCAAAGGTAGTTTACTAGCTGTACGTTCCGGAGCATTGATTGTGTTTGCGTTAATCTGTCATACAGAGTGGCGGTTGGCAAAAAGCGTTCCACCCCAAGGAAATTTTCGACATGCAGATCAGCCGTACAGTCGGCCACCATTATTTTGCCGGTCGTTAGACAAACAACTTGAACAAGTCCATTATCAGTATGTGAGATATGTGCTTAAAATTCAATTTTAGCATTACTTCTATCACATACCGTAATTATCGAATTTGCCGCACTGGGGGGCGAATAGTTCAGATACCAAGGAGCAGGTGCGCTTACTTCGAGGAGGTGCGGCTATTTCGGGGGGCGCCTTCATTTTTCAGACAATAAACCATAGAAGGGGCCATTACTTTTCAAACGATAAATTTCAGAAAGGACCAGTGTTTTTCGAAACAACAACGCATTCTGCTCTGTTGAAATTGAGCAGAGTAGTCGCCGGGCATATGGCTAAGCTAGCAAAACGGAATTACGCAACTGGATACCACTACCATGCTGGATCCAGGTATCTGTAACTGTAAGTCACTGTCAGGCAGTCGGTTTATAAATTGGGCTTGACATTTAATTACGGCACCCGGTGCCGTAATTTTGGGGGGTGACTTTATTTTTCGAACTTGAATGCGGCGGTGCGCTTATTACGGGGGGTGCGCTTATTGCGGGGGGTGCCGCAAATTCGATAATTACGGTATTCGCTGGGACGAATAACCTTACGACGTATGGAACAAGAACTGTTAATTTTTATGTTTAGGTTTAAAAATTGCAATTTAATCGTTATTTTTTATTTCAGCAGTTTATAGATTCCTTTATGTCGGAAAGGTATTTATAGTCGCACTGCGTACAGCATTGTCATTTTCTTCTTCTATTATATGTGGAAAAAAATTGCCCTCTTTAGTACTGTTATATTAGCAAATTGTAATAATCCATTAGTGTGCGGTAAAGATATCTTCAAGAAACTAAAGCTAAAACATCATATTGAAAATTAGGATTTTAATAATTCTAGTTTTCCGGCATATGGCATATTTTACTGCGTGCCAGAGGAATAACATACCAGGTTTTATCCCTTGCCATGCCAGTGGCAACGCCATAGGCGCTTGTCCGGTTTTACTAGACCATGTGAGGTTTTACACCCCGCCGACAGTAATGTCGATAATCACTTAGTGATGTTTGTTTGCTTGTTTATGGGCTTAATGTCTGCGACGGTCAGGTATAACCTTCACGAGGTCGTAGACTACTCATAACAGAAAAAGGCGTTCGCAGCAGCGAAAGACTTATGCAAAAGAAAAATTACAAGTATCAACAAAAATTCACAGCAAGCAATATGTTTATATGAACAAAGCGCCTGTTCCACTATAAGTCCGTCCATTTAAGTAACAAGATTAAGAGATGCAGTGAAGCGACTGATGTTTATTTAAGACTCCTTCGAGAGTTAGATATCGTCAGTAACGAATTTAAGGGGGGGAGGGGCTCCCGGGGCTCATGCCCCTCCCCCCCCCAGTAACTCGGACTTACAAAAATTTTCAGGGGGGTACATTGCGAAATTTTTTACGTCGGAAGTCGCCGAAAAAAGCCAGTGAATACCGAGAAAAGCTACCGAAATACCGAAAAAGCCTTTGGTTGAGTTCTCTCGCCCCCGTCCAAACCCGCCTAGATTGGGTCGGCCTACTTTACCTTTGCCCCCCCTTTGCCTTTGCCTTTACACTTTGCCTTTTTCAACTTTGCCTTTGCCCGCCCTTTACCTTTGCCTTTTCAGTTTGCCCTTTTCTACTTCGCCTTTACCTTTGCCTTTGCCGCCATGATTACCTTCCCATGGCAGTTTTCCGATTTCGACGTCGCACGTACATATATAGTACCCACGTACAAAAAATAAACCATTTAATTGTTCATTTATTACTCGAAATACGAGTAAGTAATTTATCCTGGGATCGCTGATTGAGAAATAGTAACTTGTGCTAATACTGTACACGCTGTATAGTATGAAAGGAACTCGCTGACTGACAATGTCTTTCCTCTTCCTGGTGTTTTAGAAACTCCGTAAAACTTGTTATCGAAAGTTAAAATAAAATCAAAATAATAATGAATTAGTTTCAGTACTTACTGTTATCGGTACAGCACATCCTACGCTTCAGTGGTTTTAATTTTGTTTTATTGCATTTGTTGGAGTAACATACTGCTGCAGAAATGTGACATCAGTAGTACCTTTTTTTGTAGCGTTCAAAACAAGAAAAACAAAAGTGAATTTTTTTTATTTTTGCGATAATTCTCTATACAGATGCGTTAAATAAAATTACGGGATATGTTTTGCGTAACTAGGCGCCTATTTCCGCTGTCGGCTGGGGCCGTATAATCTGTGAATGGTTTACCTTTCTAGAAAACTTATGATGTTCTTGCCGCCAATCTGGATAAAATTTATCGAAGTGTCTCGGGGCAACGGTTTTTATTGGAACTGTAGTACTTTATACTGGTATTGTTGCCTGGAAATGGAATTCCAGCAATAAAACAAAATATAACGGAAGTCGAAAAATTAAATAAATTTATTTTTTTTAACCCTTCCTGAAATATTTGGCCCCTTGGGGGTCGGGGGTCTCTTCAAAGCCGCTGTACTTAGTTTTTTTCGCAGAACATTTTATAATTCAGACTGCATTGCTATTCTGGGTCCCAGTTTTGCTATACTAGTACTAATAGTACAAAATTTGCCATGAACGTCAAAGCTGCAAACATTCTTCGGCGTAATGAACGTTTGCAGACTTGCAGTAATTCCTTGCAACTCCTTGCAACTTGCAGCGAGCGCCCGAAAAAGGTCATTCTACATTTTCGAGGTGCCCGTAGGAAGGCTGCAAAGGTTACGTAGTCTTGGTAGAAAATTGGGTTGTGTTGGGCGCGTCCTGAAGAGAACTGGGTTGGCCAATAGGCTAGACTAGAAAAACTGTGGAATTTTTAAACGAATTGTGAAATGGGAGCTGCATCCCAGAACAGATGGGTCGAGTCACCTTTCGAAGCTGGTCCGATCTAGTTTCAGTCTCATTGTAATTCTGGACATGCTTTTAGCGTACAAACTTTACATGGAAAATTTACTGGACATATACGCTGATCATACAAAATAAAATACGGTTTTAATTCTAGACGGGGGACTTGTGGTGATTTTTGGGGAAAAGTGTCCGAACTGGGCGTGACCAGGCTGTATTATTGCAGCGTTCTACAACAAAATAGACGTCATATCTCCTGTACCTGATAACTCAATAAATATTATTATCTTAAGTTTTGTTTAGTGCTGTACTTTTAGTTCCATACTCTGTACCTACCTCAGTACTCCTCGTATACTGTACCTTTCAGTCAGTACAGTATACAAGGAAAAGTACAATACTTTGTATTTGATTATATTTGTATTTGAGTGGCAGATGCGAGGTACATTTTTGCGCCAATCGCCTTCGAAACAATGGGACCATGGGGACCGTCAGCCATTGCGATTATTAAAGAACTTGGCAAGCGACTGAAACAACAAACAGGCGAAGCGCGCTCCCATGAGTTTTTACGTCAAAGATTGTCGCTGAAGATACAGCGGGGTAATGCGGCATCAGTTATGGTGACGATGGAGGGAGCGGAAAAGTTTAATGAAATCTTAATGTTGTAAAAAACTTTTGTGGTGTTTTGAAGTGTTTATTTGTACGTTATACCAAAGGTGAATAAAACAACCCAATACTTTGTTGCTAATTTTGCATCATAATACATAATAATAAGTACTTAATTCTTATCACGAGCTGCGCAAAAATGCACTTAAAAAACTGCAAAAAGGGTGCTTATAAAGACCCAAGATGTCTTAAAACAATAAATCAATTAAAAAAGGATGTCTATAATTAACGGGTTATACATGAATATCTATTAACGTCAATATATATGTATCAACGAGTTATATTTTAATAGGCAATCGCCATCAGAATAACATACTTAATATACAAGCACAGACACTCTACGTCATAGTTCAAATTCAGAGCTATATTATATCGGTGATACTGTTTAGTTATTTTGTTTATTCAGTTTACATGAAAAACAGAAAACTGTTAAATACGATGCTTACTGTTATCGGAATAAAGTTCAGGCTCGGGAATAATAATAAAATAATATTATTAAATTAATAAATAAGAAGAATTTAATAAGCCGTACAGTTCGCCTTTTCATTATTCCTGACCGTACTCAAATTAACACTATAAAGAAGTGACCTTTCTATTTTTTTCATTGCTGTTTTCAATAGTCGTTATTCTTACAAGGTAGCCTCGCGCATCCGCGCTCGGCACTTAAGTACTGGAAATTATGAATATTTTTAAAGGATACATAAGCATGCGGGAAATTATAAAACTGATTGATAATTAGGAAGGTGTGGAAACTGTGATTTATTTTAGACTAAGACTGAAATCGTATCTACGCTTTCGTAGTCGTGTTTATAAGGCGTATTAACGTTCTAAGCTTTTACATTTTACGTTCTGATGTTCTGACGTTTTGATGTTTCATGTTATGATTTTCTAACGTTCTGACCTTCAGACGTTCTTAACTTCTGACGTTCTGACGTTTTTTTTATTTTCAAATTCTGACATTCTGATGTTCTGACGTTGTAACGTTCTGATATTCTAACGTTCTGAAATTCTGACGTTTTTAAATTTTCACGTTCTAACCTTTTGACGCTCTAACGTGCTGATATTCTGACGTTCTAACGTTCTGACGTTCTGAATTTCTGGCGTTCTGAATTTCTGACGCTCTGATGTTTTTAATTTTTTACGTTCTGACGTTCTGATATTCTGACGTTCTGATATTCTAACGTTCTGATATTCTGACGTTTTTTTAGTTTTCACTTTCTGACATCTTGATGTTTGGACGTTGTAACGTTCTGCTAATCTAACGTTTTGAATTTCTGACGTTTTGACGTAAAATTTAAAATAAATATTTTGTGACGTAACTTCAGCAGGCGGGGCTGTCACCAAAATTCTACCACAAGAGAAAAATAATAATTTAAAAAATAATATTTAAAATAAATATTTTGTGACGTAACTTCAGAAGGCGGGGCTGTCACACTGTCACCGAAATTCTACCGCAAGAGGAAAATATTAATATTTGTGACGTGTTTTTAGGAGGCGGGGCTGTCACACTGTCACCGAAATTCTACCACAAAGTGCGCATAATAAAAACTTAAAAATAAAATGTAAGATATAATCATATTTTAAGTAAATATTAATAATCATAATAAATAATTATGAAAATTATATTTAAATTATTAATTTTTAAAAAAGGAAAATGAAACTTTTTTATAAACATCCAATTCCATTAAGCAAAATTCCATTAAAAACGAAAACTGATGCCCCGAGCCTTGAGCTTTATCTATCGAGACCGGCGGCACGAAAATGCATGCTTAAGATTAATGCATAAATTATCATTAAAAAGTCTCATTTCTGAACCGGCTAATAGCGACGATACTTTATTTTTAGAAGGTTAATTAACGAGATACAGTTTTGCAAGTGTTTTTAACAAAAATTTTTTGACGGTGAAGGTAATCACGCCGGCAAAGGCAAAGGTAAAGGTAAAGTAGAAAAGGGCAAAGTGTAAAGGCAAAGGCAAAGGGGGGGGCAAAGGTAAAGTAGGCCGACCCCCTAGATTGCAACTGGCAGGCAGAGCAAGTTTGCCTCGAAATTTAAAAAAATCGTTCACCATACGGTACGAGATGAAATATAAAACTGTACGCCAAGAGAAGAGATTTTCTTATACGGCAGACCAGCAGTTACTTGTAACCTAACTTACTCAGCGTTTCAGCGAACCTTTTTCAACCTGACTTACTCATTTTGATAAGGAAATTGTGCGTTTAAATAACGTATCCTCTTTTTCATCCGGCTCGAAAGGTTTTCATACTGCCCTTCGCAGCTGAGATGACTGTCTAGGTAGATACCTAGACAGTTTCTTCCGACAGCGGTATGACTTCGTTATTCAGTGAATACAACCCAAATTGCATCTTTGTGCGCTTCTTTGTAAAGCGGACATCTGCGGACTTTTCTGCATTAAAAGTATGTTGAAGATCAACAGCATATTTAGAAACTATTATTCAAAGCCATCTGAAAGTTCTCTTCACCCGCAGCTGATTCGATGGGAAGCAGAAGGCAGGAAACGTTCTTTAATCTACTGTACATACGAAAACCATGTACGTAAGTTCCGGTTCCTTTCACCGTGGTCTAATTGTCTTTCTTAGAGGCTTCTTAGCTTTTCTTGGATGCTCATGCTCTTATAAGGTTCTCATATGCTCAGATTTCTTAGGGTTTTTAGCCTCAATTCCCTCAAACGTCTATTGTTTAGTATTCTTAGGTTTTCTTAGGTTATGGGTATCGTTTCATTAAGTTACGGTTTTCTTAGTTTATGGATAGAAGTAGTTTTATTAGGTACTTATGGTTTTCTTAGGTTTCTAAGGTTTTCTTGGGTTTTCTTAGGCTTTAAAATGCTTTCCGGCAGGTTGTTTTGTCGGTCATCAGAATGCCGTCAGCGAAATGTCGATATTCAACAAATTCTCGTTCCGCAAACTTTCGATCATCGATTTGTCGTTTTAAGAATTTGTCGGGAAATATTTTGTCGACTAGCAAAGCCTCATCAGCAAGCTTTCGGTCAGCTAATCGTCGTTTTGCCTGAAGGCTGAAGTTAACAATTTAACGGCTTTTGGTTCTGTTGTTAGATCATAAGAAGTTAACAATTTTACTTCGTTGTTTTTTTGTAATGCAAAACATTTGAAAATATAGCCTGTGTGACCTATGTGAGGTATGGCGAAACGCAACCGTGTGTAGAGTGTAGACTGTAGTTCGCAACCTGAGTATGCAACTGCCATCGCTGCCGTTGCAATAAAATTATTCACTTTATTCGCCGCATTTGTACACCTTAAAGGCTTAAACGAATTCGTTGTCTGAGTTTCACGCATACGGAAACGGAAACAGAAATAACTGTAGTGAAATAATAGTAGGACTGCTGTTGCATTGACCGAAAAAATCTCCATTCTTTACATAATATTATTTTGAAACCGGATGACATTATACACAGGGTTCTCTAGCTGCATTTCAGGGAACATTACCTGCAAATACAGATACCATTAGATGCCGCTAAAAGTAGAACTGTTGATCCATCTGTCCACTTCCTATGCTTTAAAGGTTTCACTAATAGTGGGCGCCGGCGCTGCAGCTTTTGCTATTGGCAGTGGCTCGTCACCGGGTTGCTTCCGTACCGTACAGTAGAACTTCCGGTGCGCCAGAAAGGTGGACAAATACTTGAAGTAGATATCACAATACTTGCAGTACTTGCGCTTCTCCGGCACCGCGGCGATCGTAGTCTGCGCCACTAATTTCGGTCGTTTCGCACTGACAATCACCGACTGCCGGTGCGCCCGCGGCCGCCCGCCCTCGCGCGGCGTCGGGACGTTCTTTGCCTCTTTGAAATGGTACTTGGTGACGTGCGAGCGCAGCCCGCGAGGGGTGTTGGCGCGGAATGCGCAGAACGAACAAAAGTGCCCGCTTAAAACGGGAGACTTTGTTTCGGCCGGCGCCGATTGGCTGGCCGTCGTACTGGTGGGCGTGACCGAGCGTTCTGTCACTGGTTCAGACTTGACACTGGGTGTTTCTGTGGTGGAGGGCGTGGTCAAGGTGTCGGTGGTGGGTTTGGTGGCGCAGTAGAACTGCAGATGGGCGTGAAGTGTTTTTAGTGAGGAGAAACCGATGCCGCAGGTTAAACAGGGATGCCGGCGGTGTTTGTCGCGCGTCAGGAGCTGGACGATTTCGCTGGATGTCGAGGAGATGCTGGGCGTGGAGTGGCGTTTTATGGAGAGATCTAACGGGAGATCATCGCTGTCTGCTGTGGTCATGATAACGATGAACGGGAACGCCTGGAATTAATCCACAATAAATAACAAAAAGAAATCAAATATACCGGACTTTACAACTTTACGCTGAACACGGTATGATAGGCGTACATTCAGCAGTCATTTTTTTGTCAAGCACGATTACTTAAACACCGGCACATAATTTTGATAAAAATTTAGCGCTGTTTTACAATTTAGACAATTTAGTCCAGTGTTATATGTTTTTATTGAAGTTAACGTGATTAACGACAGCGGACTTCCTAAGCCAGTACACTACAATCAGTACGAGTAGCTAGCGTTTGTGTGACTGAGAATAATTGGGGCCTGCAAGATTCTTGTCGCGTCAAGCCGGTTGCGCCGTTATCGCGATGGAGCAAGGTAATAATAAATGCTGCGTGCGCATTCTATATGACCACTGATTATTATTATTATTCAAAGGCAAATATGAATCAGATAAAAATAAGCCAAATGAAATGGCCTTATCGCGCTCACATCTGCTATAGTTGAACAGACATACATACTCGCGCATATTACATGCTACCAAGTCACCATCCATTACTGTACTACGTGTACTTCGGCAAGCGGCATACATTAAACATGGCGCCAAGACTTCATTACCATTCAATACAGAGACCAAATAAAATTCTTTATAAACTAAATGAAATAATAAAATATCTGGTAAAGTTGGTTAAAAAACCAGCTTGAATCTTATTTTTACAATATCATTTCGCCGGAATGAAACTGTAAAAATACTGACTAACAGTAATTAGCTTCACTGAACGTAGAGGAGCCGTTTTTTTTTAATATTATGTGTTCGCAAACTTTGTATCCTTGACTGACCGTTTACAAAAAAGCCGGTGAAGGGAACAAATTAAACTTTTATTAGTGATTTTTAAGTTTTTTATGAGAAAACCGAAATAAACACGACAAAAAAATGGTGAAAGACTGATTCTACTGTATATGTTATAAGAAGGACGTGTCCGACGTGATTCATAGATCCTTACCTGCGATAAGACAACTACCGGCTCGTTTCGATATAGGTCGAGAAAAAATGCGCACACTAAAGAGAAAGTCTCGCGCCGAAAAACTTATTACGGCCAACAAACGTAGAAGCAACATATACAGCGCAGGTAAACATATGCCGCGATGATATTATATTTTCCACGACAAAACTTCCCAACCAAGGTTTTATTCACTGGCGTTTGATTGATAAGCTACGGATAAAGCGATAATAAAATCTCCGCGATAAATTCCTTATGCACACACATATATACATTGTACCGTTATTACCGGTATACCGGCTGACTGGAATGCCATTATACACAACATACACCTCTCTGATTCTAATCTACACCTTATCCTTATCAAATATCATGGCCAAATATGTATCACAGTATTACACACACACCGGTGTATATGTACGAACACGTAAAACACGTCAGCGTGGAACGGTTTTCAGCGAGCGCACGATGGACAAAAATACGCGATAATTATTTACCAGTTATCAGTCTATCAGTAACAACCTAGGTCGGACTTCCGGTTCGGCAGACGGGCGCAATATACGCGATAGGAATTGATTCGATCGGGAAAAATTACTGTAGTAATCAATAAATCCACTTACCATATAATCATCCAACGCTATTCCGATTCTTTCAAAATTAATCCTGTGTTTGTCTTAAATTAACGCTGGTCAACTTTACAAGTAATAAAAGCGAAACGTTCCAAATGAAAACGTGCTACAACATGTTGCGGAATCTGAGTCAAAAACACAGACGTTTTTGGTGTGTCTGTGGGTTATGATCTCAACGGTTGAAAGAAGAACATGCTTCAGCTCCGGTTGAGTCAAAAATGCCGGCAAACAACAACGGCTTACACAGACATATACACACATCAGTAAAGAAAAACCCGGCACCGGCCAGCGCCTCGATGTCTGCATGCGTGTTGTTCATCTCGGCTACTGATCATTTTCACTGCACCAAGTTTTGTCATTGCTCGAGTTGGCGCGCTCGCGGCTGATAAAGATCTGAGGAAAATGCGCTTATGATCTTTTGCCGGCAGTCGTGTCTATAAAAGCGAACGGATTAATGAGGAGAAAGAAGCTGAGGCCTCTTATCTCCGCGCCAGCAGAGCGCATACGGCCGCGCATTAAATGGATCTTTTTAACGGGGGCTTTTTAACTATCCTGCTGCTGCTGCTTCTGCGGCTGACGATAGCCAAGATCGATGCGCGCGGCCGGCGTATATTTTTATCCGGCTTAGAAACTATTGTATATATGAGTTTGGGGATTGGCTGCTTGTCTGTGTGTGTTATGCGTATGAGCAATGGAGTCTGATAACGATCAGCGAGATAAGGAGCGCGATAGGGTAATATCGCCTGTAACGTGTTATCGGCCGATGCATGAGAGAGAGACTGCTACTGGAGATCGTTGACTGATACTGACCAACCTACAAAACACACAAGTCTGACAATCACCACATCCAGTCACCCTTAACAGCGTGGTGGCGCCGATGCGTTAACAGTGGCGGCGTTTGCATGATACTGCAGGGTTGTGAACAAAATGTAAAATGCACGGTCATTATTGTTCGTGGTTGTTCATGAAAATTCTCGATAGATTGTTACCGGAAGCAAGTGTACTAACCAGCTTTGTCGTAAAATTCTGATGTAAAATCTATTACAGCATAATAATTTTTATTTTGTGCTGTCAAACTCTGCAAGATATGATCGGAAAATATCAACTTTCTGGGACATAAACCATGTTTTCGTTATCTGGCTTGTTGGTACTCTGTAGTTCATAACTTCATACTTTTTACGATAGTCAATTTCAGAACGTCATCCGAAATCGGAAAAGCGTCCAGGCTTAGAAAAAGGAAACGCAGAAACTTTGAAAAATAACATTCCTTTTAGTAGAAGGCTAGAAGACATCCATTCCTTGACCTCTTCAGTCCAATGACAATATTTGCCGGCAAAAGTACGCAGTGTATGCGCTTCTAACGATATTCTTATTTGCTTTTACTAGGATATCAAGGTTATCCCTTTATTGGTAAGAAAGCGGCAGGGCTGTGGCTTTCTGGTTTCCCTCTAAAAGGACTCAAGCATCCGGAAGCGGTGTGTAACTGTTACAGCTTAACCATTTCCAACCTAGACCGTCATTATACAACTGTACGGCGCTGTTGGTAGTTAGTATCGGCCAGATTCAGAATTCAGAATATGACATAATGGACGTAATTCTTTTGCACTTGAGTTTTGATCAGTTTAATTATTTAACTGCGGACCAACTGGCTGATTTCCCCGTTTTTACAACAGTTTTTCGTACGGTAGTAAATCTATGTTTATATGTATCGAAATTAAGAAACACAGCAAATGTGCCAGGCGTAATTAAGCATAAGCGAATTAAAGCGATTGATAAAAATAACATGGCGCCACAACCACACATGAAATATCATGCGCTACACATGACAATCGAGGCTTGCAAAAAAAAGCTTTTACCGGAAGTTAATTAAAATTCATCTTTTCTCCCGGCAGCAAAACTGTGGTTTTTGCCATCATTCCATTGCAAAATTTTATGGCCTCCTGGCCGCCATCGGCGCCGGTAACGCCGGTCGTACTGCGGTAAAGGTTTTCAAGCGTAACAATAAGACTGTAATACTGTTTGTCAACAGATCGTTAGTACAGCGCTTTTAAGTGTCGCACTGCAGTTCACGGAACGGCCCAAAATTAAATATCATATTTCTAACAGTCTTCCGATGACAATATTTTATTAATATTTTGTAAGCGCACGGAGTAATGCTGGAACTGTGATTATTCCCACCGAACCATGAATGGATAGATTGGATTATTTTTTTCTCGGCTTAACACTGCTCGCATTTAGCGGGGATTTTCCACGTAATTATGCTCAGAAATACCGACCGCACGAGCGAGATGACCAGTCACATGCAAAACGTAAGAATACGTATGTAATGGTTAGTGAGGTTAATCTATTAATTTCCCAGATTTTCCAATTATTTCGAGTTTTCATTGGGTATGCTAAATAAGCGGTTATTTATGCAACATTTGTGATGGGTCTGTTTTGGCGATCCATCTTCGCTCTTGTTGATATAGATGTGCGACCATCTCGAGATGATGATCAGCGACATAATTTTGCACCAGGTCGCAGTTTTAATCGGCCGGAATATGCAGTGGCCAATCAGCAACCTGGTCGTAACTTGTACCGGCGCCGAGGGGCCTTGTCAGCATCAAAGCAGGCACAGGACGACGCTGTGAATCAGCTGAAAAGCTCCGGTATGTCGCTCTGCTAGTTATTTGTTTGTTCTTTGCATATTGGTACAACTGCCGTACGACGGCAACTTCTAAGCGGCCCCTAGTGGAGTGGGTTAATCCAACCGTACCACGATAGAACGAGGTTCGATGGTCCGTCGGTGATGTTAGATTGCTAGTGAACTTAGTGAATTGCTCAAAAATCAGTTATGCAACTAGGTACAAACATGTCAACCAATGCCGGCGGGATCTTCAAAGGATACACACCTTTTTAATCAGCTGAAAAGTCCTTTAAGAAGAACAAGGGCAACAGCAAGAGCTAGAATGGTTACAGAACATTACAACCTTCTCAAAAGTCTAGAACAACCACGTTAGAACTGGTCGTTTCGTCCAAGTGCTCACTCGAATGTTTCGGTTGAACTAGCACCAATGCATTCACCATCCGCGAAACCTGCGGCGTTTACCCACATAACGTTTAAAACCCAAAATTTAGCCCAAAGTAAAAGTCGGTATGCTATGCTACGCTAAAATACCTGCAATGAATCAACCCCTCATTAGTCCGTAACATATATAATATTGTACAGTAAGTAACATTTGAACAAACTCTATGTTTGACATACAGGTTCTCGCAGAATGGCAAATAGGGAAGAGATCATCGCCACCACCGCTCAACCGCCCAGTCGGCCCACTAACATTGTCAGCGGTGATCTGCGTCCGGATCAGCATCTCCCTGGCAACGCCCTGTTCTTCCCCTCCGGCCAAGGTTTTTTGAGTATTTTAGTTCAGAGAAAAAAGCCGGTACTTGGCGCATCTTTAGCGTTCCAGCGCAATCAGCGCCTCGGTTCGGATGAGGTGGCGGCTAACGTTTTTTCCCGCCCACTGTGGACGGTTCCTCGTAATAACACTGGTGTCGTTAATTTAACGAAATCCAGTCCACAGACTGCTACTTCGCTCCTGGCGCTCTTCGGCTGGTAGGCGGCATTAGAAACGGGGATTCAGCTACCGGATATTATGTTGTGCCTCGCGGTGTAGATCTTGATGCTGCCGGGTTTCGGTTTTGTTGACCAGAAATTGTATAATAAACGTTTTCTCCGTTCTGTACAGATCTGTAGTGAGAAACTGTAGTGAGAAATGCGCTTTTTCGCGCACAGTCGCTGCAGACTTCTCTATAGAGGAGAAAGCAGTTGTAACTTGTAACCGTCACTATAATTGTAGTGGGTAATTGGGTGCAAGGCTACTATAAGCCATGAAGATAACATAAAGAGTTTGCAAACTTATGTAATGTGTTTCCAACTAAGGCTACCCATTTAATACTGCTTTTCAAAAAAAATGGCGAACAGGTGGAACTGAACCGGTTGATCAAAAAGCCGATAGCAAGATAATAATTATTACAAAGGCGGGCTGTAATTCATGTATTTGGTTCTTGCCTACTTACTTTGGTTCTTGTTCTTAATTTGGCTGGTTCTGTTCTTAATTTGGTTCTTAGTCTTCCTACCTACTTGAAGTTACTGTTACTTACAATACGTACCAGATACTGTATTTGTACGCACGACATAACATACATGTGTTTAACGTATTTTCAATGGCTTGCACAGACAAACAAAAGGCTTAAACGGAACCTGAAACTATGATTACTCAATATACATTCATTCTCCCAGCAACAAAACTGCTTCTTTATGTATTCATTTCTATGTTTTTTTAACTTCCTGGCCGCCTGCAGCAACGCTCGCGACACCGGTAGCTCAGCATACAGGATAATGAAGCATACTAACAGCGGTATTTTTATTAACCGAGCAGTTAATTCCAGTAATTCCAGATGTCTCATTGTCTGTTGCATAAAGTGGGTTTCGGACGAACCTGCTTGATCAAGCGTCGTACCTGCTGAACTCTCCAAATCCAGTTAAACAGATTATTCAACCAGTGCACTGAATACTGCAAAAAATTTGTTTAGTACAACAATTATGAATGGATGGACTGGATTACTTTTTTCTGTGTTCACTGTTGTTCGTGTTTAAAGAACAGTTAGCGAGCTAAGTGTAGTTAAATTTGTGGCAAATTCCCTGTATGCTTTGTTACGTGTGGCCCGGCCCACTTTCTTTGTCGGCGCTGGAAATGTGATCCAGTTGCCGCCGACTTTGCAGACGGCCTGCTCCAGTTTTACATTTTGTCCCGATCAGTCGTGCTGACTTATTAGTTTTCTACAAGAGCGCTCATTTCTCTGATGTTTCTTTATACCGTGAAGTGAGTTGCAATTTTTCTGATAACAATTTCCTTACGGACTGTAAATCATGCCTCCAGCCACGAGAAGTGGAAAAACCGCTAAGAAATCACGGCGAGCTGTCGGAAGACCTCCCGGGAAGGCGCCACCGAAAAATCGCTTGAAAAGCGTTGTCGTTTGTCCCACGCCAATCACAGCTACCGCTCATGAAACTTCCAGCGAAGTACAGCTGTTGGAGCCAACTCTACAGTCCATTATGCAGGGACAGCAAAGACAACAGCTGCAGATAGACTCGCTGATTTCGATCATGAAAACTCAGCCGTAGAATGCCGCCCGGCCGCTATCGCCTTCTTCCAACTTGCAGATCCAGCTTGGTGACGACGTCGGTAGAATCGTGCACCAGGTGGACTCTGTAAGCAAGTCAAACGAAGGAAAAAGGAAAAGAAATCGCAAACGAGGTAAGAGAAGCGATTCTTCTTCCTCTGAAGAGGAGAGCGATAGCGATAACTCACCAGCGCGCAGCTCAGCACCCCAGCACACTGGCGACCGCCCTGACGTGTTTGCCCGTTTGGGACCGCCGGCACCACGGCCGTCAGGCAATGAGCTTTCATCTCACGAACTCCCGTCTATTCCTGACAAGAAGCTACGCAAAAAGTTGCTGGATCTTACTGAATATGTGGATTTCGATCGCACCGCTGCTAAGTGCAAAGCTGTTTAAGTATTTGGACATTACTGCATCGTACGCTGAGCGTGAAGTGCCCATCGCCAACTGGCTGGAATATGACAGGCAGTTTCGTGCCTTTATGACCAGCCACCCGCGGGAGTACGACTTGTGGGCACACCAGCATGAGGATACATATATTGATTGCATACAGAATCCGCTGCGGAATGTAATGGAGGACGCAGTCAGCCGCCGTAACAGCGATCGGAAAAAAGATGATAAGTGTCGGAATTGTGGCGTTGCGGGACATTTCATCAGCAGCTGCCCGCTGCCGCGAAAGGGACAGCCGGGTCACGGGCAGCCCTTTCGGACCGCACCCGCCACAGACGGGGAAATCTGTCGGAACTTCAACTTTGGGGGCTGCACTACGCCATGTAAAGCCCGACGGATACACTCCTGCTCAAAGTGCGGTGAGCCAAACCATCGCGCCCTCAACTGCACAAAAGCCGAAACCTGAAGCGACAGTGCCGGCGAAAGCGACTTCTCCACTGCGCGCCACCGCTTTTGCCGGACTGCTTGCGACATACCCTGAAGCGTCAGTCGTGTCGTTCATAACAGACACACTAGCGCACGGCGCGGACATATTCCATGACGGTCCTCAGAAATGCCGATATACGCCAAATGCAGCAACAACAAAAATTCACCACAAAGCCGTGACAGAGTACATCGAGAAAGAAGTAGCAAAAGGCCACAGCATCGGGCCGTTTGCGTCACCACCGCTTGCAGATTTCGTAGTAAACTCGCTCGGGGCTCGGCTGAAGAAAGATGGTACAGTCCGAGTAATTATGGACTTATCCTAACCGACTGGTGACGGTGTAAACGATGTCATTGACGGTGAACGGCTACCACTGGACTACTGCTCCATTGACGATGCAGTTGCAGTTGTGACAAGTCTCGGTCGGGGCGCCCTTATGGCGAAAATGGATATAAAATCTGCTTTTCGCCTGATCCCGGTACGTCGTGACTTTTGGAATCTGCTCGGATACCGGTGGGATGGTAAGTACTATTTTAACGTAGTACTCCCATTTGGTTTACGGTCATCGCCATACATGTTCGAGCAATTCGCAAAAGCAGTTGACTGGGCTGTACGCAACAGAAGTGGACTGACGTCAATGCTGCACTATGTAGACGACTATTTCTTTGCGGGGAAGCCTGGCAGTACACAGTGCAGTGATTTCATGCGCACCATGTCTGAAATATGCCGTGAGCTCGGGGTCCCTTTGGCGGAAGACAAAACCGAAGGACCCGCGACTCAGTTGATATTCTTGGGCATTCTCATTGACAGCGTGAGACAAACTCTCAGCCTCTCAGCTGGTAAGCAAGCAGAAATACAAGCTGCTCTTGACGAGTGGAGTGTGCAACGTTTCTGCTCACGCACACAGCTCCAGAGCTTACTGGGAGTCCTGCAGTTTGCATCCAAATGCGTCCCTGTTAGTCGTCTTTTCACGCGTCGGATGATTTCTTTGTTAACCGAGCACCGAAAAGACAGCTTGATTCCCTTGAACGCTGATTTTCATAAAGATCTGGACTGGTGAAGGGAATTTTTGCCAGCTTGGAACGGCACTGCCCCGTTCTTACAGCCAGACTGGACGCGGTCGGACGTGCTTCACCTTTATACGGACGCCTCCGCAACTCATGGTCTCGGCGCCTTTTTCCACGGTGCATGGTTTCAGAAGCGCTGGCCGCCGTGGGTGGTTGAACTAAAACCGTGCATTGAATATCTGGAAATGGTGCCGATATTGCTTTCTGTTATTGTTTGGGGGGAAAAGCTGGCCGGCAGGAAAGTTATCTTCCACTGCGACAATGAAGGTGCAACACATGCAAACCTGAGATCCACAAATCGCGGTGTGCTGGACCTTATGCGGCGTCTAGTTAAAGCAGCAGCAACCGCCGGCATGACGCTGACACTAAAACACATAGCTGGTGTTAACAATGAACTAGCTGATGCGTTGTCTCGTTTCCAGCAAAGCCGCTTTCGACGACTGGCACCACAAGCGGAGCTGCTCCCGGTGGACTGCCCCGACATATTTCCGGATCTCAAGGCGGCGTACTGCAATCCTCAAGGTTGAATGAGCTGCTGCAAGCTCACATTGCGGACACCACCAGATCGACCTACAATGCAGCATTCTGCCAATTCCAGCAGTTTTGTGAAAAGAGATCGCTGGCCAGCCTGCCTGCGACACCGACCACTGTTGCCGAATTCGTCGCCAAGCTTTACTCCGACGGCAAATGCTTCCGCACCGCTACCGTTTACCTAGCTGGCATAAACCGTCATCGGGAAGCCAACGTAGTGTACCACACGGACAATGATACGGTGCAAAGAGCATTGGAAGGATATCGCCGCTTAGGGGCTCCGCAGAAGGATCGACGTCTCCCCGTGACGTTGAACCACATGCGATATTTAAAGGACACTCTGCGGACGATCGGAATGTCAGACTACGAACAATCCCTCTACTGGATAACATTTACCTTTTTATTCTTCGGCTTCTTCCGCATCAGCGAAGTGACAGCCCCCGGCACTCGCCGCTTCGATGTTCGTCGAACGCTGACATGGAGCGACATAGTGGACGACGGTCACCACCTCACCGTCCATCTCAGGATAACGAAAACGGACCAGACTGGCGTGGTAGTAGCGTAGCGCTGGCGGCGACCGGACGCTCGGTCTGTCCCGTGCAGGCATACCGTAACTACCGTGCTCGGGTATCCGAACCTGTGAACGAGCTGCCGCTGTTGCAGCGCGAAGATGGGAAATTCGTCACGAGAGCCGATGTCGAGAGATGTCTCCGCCGTCTCCTCAAGGGCCACCCGGACAGAGAGCGGATCACCACGCACAGCTTCAGAATTGGTGCGGCCACCACGGCTGCAGCCAACAATGTTCCGGATCGCACGATTCAAGAGGCCGGACGCTGGCGCAGTAAGTGCTTTACCCGATATATTCGCCGCTCCGGGCCACCCGTCGCTGTAAACCCCTACCAGATTGTTTGGGGGCAGTCGGGCGGATGTGGGGATACCGGAAACTCGAACCGGTGAGGTCATCACCTGCACCTTCGATTTCATGTATGCCGCCGCTCCGTCGACCTGCTCTACCCGCAAACGCCCAATTACCTTCGTCACGCACTCCGATAGAATTTCCACAAGAATTTAAGGGATGTTTTCATGTGCTCATGTTCAGAAAAACCGGCTGCAATCGCGACACGAACAGCCACACCCAAAACGTGAGTACGAATATGTTCTATAATGAGCTGCACCAGCCTAACGGCTTATGAATTTGGGTGGCTTACAAAACTGACAACGTACAGTGTAATCTATCGCAGGCCTAATTCAATGAACATCAGTTTGTTCTGTGACTTTGTGTAGTTCTGATTTTAAAGATGAAAGCGTCTTTTCAATTATACAAGGTTACTAATTTACCATACAGCAAAAACATGATTTTTCTGAACTTCTGATCCGCGAAACGTCTCCCTTGGTAAATTCAGCGTTTTTCCCATTTTTCTACGTATCTTCTGTGTACTGCTTTCAATCCATCGGTCGTGATCTTTGTCAGAGATTTCGGGCAGTTTATTAAAATCCCTTGGCTCTTTTCGGTAGATGTCCGACCCTCCCGGGATGACGACCAGCGGCCATTTTGTCGCTGGTCGTTGCACCCGGTCACAGTTATAGTCCTGATTATGCCGCGGCCAGTCATCAACCGGGGCATAATCTCTACCGACGCAGAGGAGCTTTGTCAGCGTCCAGGCAAACTCAAGACGACGCTGTGAACCAACTGAAAAGCTCCGGTATGTCCATGTTATTCCTAATTCTTTTCTTAGCACGCTCAAAGGCTTGGTAAAACTGATCGGCAGTACGGTGGACCACTGGATGCTCCCTCGGCTACTTTATGCAAACAATCGGAGTCCCCATTGTCCGCAAAGCAAAAATTGTGTACAGTGTACGTCTACGCATATACGCATACCCTCTCACCTAGCTGCACTTCAATGCCAGATACGAGTATATAAACCGGTCTTTAACTGAACTGAGCGTTTGCATGTCATACATGGTAGAAAGATCGCTGAAAATCGGCAAAATTTGACAATGCTATTGCATAAACTTTTAAGATAAAATGTCTAAGTCACGATTTCTTTTGTCGTTTGATAAGAAGGCTGTAAACGGTGGAAGCACAGCTGTACAAATTCTATGTTGTTCGACGTGCGGGTTCCCGTAACACGGTAATCACACTGGAAACCTACGAAGTCACTATAGCCCCGCCCAGCCGGCCCACGAACCTCGTGAACATGAATCCGCGCGCTGATCAACCTCTGCACGGCTACGTCCTGTTTTTCCCCTCGGGCGGGGGCACTCTGGTCTCTGAGCATTCTGGTCCGCCGACCGAAAAAGCCGGGGATGACATTGCAAGCGGATACGCCCATCAGCGACGAACCAGGCGCTTCGCTGTCTTTCCAGCGCAAGCAGCGTCTCAATGCGGATGACATGATGACGAAGTCCGTTTTCTCCCGGCCGCTGTGGACGGTCCCTCGGAATAATACGAATGTCGTCAACTTAACGATATCCAGCCCACAAACCGCCGCGTCACTCCTGGCGCTCTTCGGCTGGTAGACGAAATAAGCGAGGCACGAGAAAATACTACTGCATCGTGTGGATTATCATGCAGCAGCGACCAACGCAGGTATGGCAAAACGATGCTATGCATACAGTACCTGTGGCTGTGCCGGAATGTACATGATATCGTTCGGGATAACATGGGCCAATCGTACGCGATATAATTACCGAAACGAAAATAATATTATGTCAAAAAGGGCGATTCAAATGTGAACCTGATACTATCACAACGTCTTTTTATGTAATGATATTCTACATGAAGCTATAACATCGTTCGAGTTATTTGTTTATTCGCTCAGTTTCCTGCTGGCTATTAAAACCCGTACAGCTCGGAACGACTTTTAATTTTTATTATATAACGCCAGGCAAGAATACGTATGATTTTGCTAGCCCACACACAGGGAAGACGCAAAAGGTTATCCCAAGATAAGATAACATTAACTTTAAAACTAGCCTTAAAAAATCCGCTGCCAAGCAGCGAATAGACGCGGTTCAAAATTCTAAACAAAAATCCGTCTGGTTGCGTTAACAGGTTTGTTTATAATTTTATTGGACAGTTATTACATACTCATTGGCCATTGCATAACTAATGGTACGTGGGTTGTTCAAAGTCTGCATTGATCAACAAAAAACCTTATACAAAATTTGGAAGTAAATAATTAGTATTCATCTATTCTGCCTGGAGCAAACTCTGTTTTTTTCCATCATTCCATTTCGATACATTTTTACTTCCTGACCGCCGATTGCGCATGAAACACAGTCTCTCTGTATACACGACGAAGAATGCGCGGTAGTAGTGCATTATACTTGCCAACAAACCATTTAGTCCAATCTTTTTTAGATACCAGCTGAATTTAGTGGATTGAGATAAACCAGCTTAAGCACAAGATTAGCATTAAATGAACCCTGATGAAATAAACTAGCTAGTGCCCTAAATAATTATCAAAATTCCCAACCAGAGCGTCCATCCATGGATGGATTGAAATATGTTTCGTTGTTTTTGATGTTGTTCTTAAATGGCGGGAGCTTTTCAATTCTGCTTGTTCATGGGCAAAAAATTCGGCCACACCCGCGAGATGACCAGTCGCACCCAAAACGTGAGTATCTGTGAAGTCACTATAGCCGATCCTAAAGAGGACTGTCCCAGTCTGAATCTCACAATTTCTTGGATTTACGACCTGGAATTAAATCGCGTCGCAGTTTTCACAGCGTTTTTGTGCTACAGTGTATCAATAACCTAGATAGGTTTCTGGTGGGTTTTTGCTGATAAAATTCAGCCTAACTACAATAATTTTTTTGATAGGTGTACAACTTTCCCGCGATGATGACCACCGATATCATTTTGCACCGGGTCGCAGTTATAGCCGACCGGATTACGCTGTTGCCAGTCTTGAACCGGGTCACAACTTATACCGGCGCCGAGGGGCCCTCTCAGCATCCAAGCCAATGCCGGATGGCGCCATGAATCGTTTGGGAATCTCCGGTATGCTTGTCCGATTGTGCGTATGCATTGTGCCATACAATCATATCGTAGCAAAAAGGCGTCGTCGTACAGATGTTGGTAGCAAGAACAACAGCAACGCTTTGGTACAACACGTACATTTACGTAATATCCCTTCTGCAGTTCTGATCAGTCGACGATTAGGATATACAAGGTTGTAAAGCTGGCTGCAATCGCTTATCGCATGTAGATGGCCTGTACTTGAGAAGGTTGGAGCATAATACTACGAGCGGTGACATAGAGAGCTCGATGTATACAACCATGCAACGACAGATCTTCTTCGTCGCGTACCTGAAAAGCGGCAGACCAGCTATTAAAGGGTCGCAGACCAGGTCGGCGACGGCAAGGGACAGCAGTGAAAATGGCTCTAACTTGACTCGTTGTCACAAATGATTAACCTGTTCGATGTAGAAAACCTTGTGCGTTTTGGCATGCTGATTTTGTGGATTTGAGTCCGAGTTGTATGATTATACGGGTGTTCGAGTTTAGTATGCGACTGCAACCGTGACATCAGCCCAATATACTGCGTAGTGGCGCAAGGTGGCTGCCGATACTAGAAGACTGACCACTTCGCACGGGGCTTAGCAAACTCCCTGCTCTGTTAATTTACGATCTTGACGGTTACGCTGATACATTAAACGCTCTAGGTCACTGCTCAAACTATGTGCTTAAGCAGTATGTTATTCGGCCAACAGGTTCCCGTAAAATCAAGGAAAAAGTCAGTGCCACAACACAGGCCTCCAGCGGCACTGGCGGTCCCGGCCGCGGCGGCGACAACACCCTCGCTATCGACCCACGTCCCAGCCAATCTCTGCGCGGCAACTCCTTATTCTTCCCTTCGGGCCGTGGCACTCTGAGTATTCTCGTCCGGCGGCCGAAACCGCTGGTGCCAGATCGGCCAGTGTTTTTCCGGCCTTTTTGGACGGTCCCACGGAACAATACGGGAATCATCAATCTAACAAAATCCAGTCCACAAACCGCCACCTCACTCCTAGCGCTTTTCGGCTGGTAGTCGGCTATGTATGCCCGGAAGGAGAAATGATATTACGGTCTACTGTAAGATGTAGAGTTACCATTAGAGCCCTAGGTTGTAATTTCTGCACGGATTCGATATTAATCCTTATTACTTACTCCCCAGTCAGTAAAATCTGCCTGAAAGTCTGTTCGACTTTCTTTATTAAAAAGTCGTTTTTTTGTGCACAAGAGAAAAAAAGTTATGTATTATTTCATCTGATCTGTTTAGACACAAAATTCAGCTAGAACGGTTCCATCAATAACCGCAAGCGTTTTGGCGGTATCACCTGCAACAGCGCTCCATCTTCTTTAGCGTTAAAAGAATTACATCTGCCCACACAAGCGATGCCGTTCCTCGACAAAGCGCCATTGGATGGGTTGAGCAGTCTCTTAGTCTGCTTCCGTCAGGTTAATTTGAGAATCAGCTCGTAATCGAAAATTAATCGAAGCGGCCCAAGGTGAGGGCTTTCAGAAGATCACCAACCTGCGTGATTGACATTGCTATAGGCTGTACAGATACATTTTGTTACCACAAAGTAATAACTTCACCGATCCTTAACGCTAAATTGCTTAGAATTAGCACAACAATAAAAAACATCAGAACAGTATTATGACATTCCAATGGCACTTACATCGTGGGGCTTATTCACGATCTGGGTCAACATCTTCTCGGTGTTGCGCATAATCTCCACTTTATGGGCGGCTGATAATGGAAAGCGCACTTTCTTACCTGACCCGTACTGGAAATAAGACAACGCTTTTACTGGAACCCAAATTGTAATTATAGCATGTGAAAAACGGTTAACCTTTTACTGGCTCACTTTATATGCAAAGGTTACGCTCATCGTCAAACCGGTCTGCTTTTCGCCCACGAAATCAAGCCGGTACCACCTAAAAAATCATAAATAAAAATAAGAAACGCTTATGATTTTGCCAATTTTGTCTTAGCTGTTAGCTGTGAAACGGAAACCGTGGTGACACTGTGTGTGTATACGTACATACCAGAATGCCGGAATGAACAGGATATCATTCGGGCCCAAGGTTGCCTGCTCGGCGTAGGCGCGCCGGAAATTGGGGTATTTGATCAGGTCCGGGTGGGCGAAATCCACCTGACTGTAGCGATCGTAGGGATGATAGATCGGGTAGGGATAAAGCGTGGAATAATTGTCCGGACTGAAGAGTGTCACGCGAACACTGCCGCTGATCACCGCCAGCAGCATGTGGTGCTCTTCGAATTTTGCCTGCGTGCAGCTTCCTAAATATAACACAAACCCGTTAGTTAAGAAATAATTAACAAGAAAATCGAAGTTCTAAATCGTAGCAAGATCCCTCTATGCGTTTAAGTCTTGGCCTGCACAGCTTCAGTCTTGGCCTGCACAGCTTCAGTCTTGGCCTGCACAGCTATCAGTCTTGGCCTGCACAGCTACCGAACGGCCAATAAATTTAGAACTTTTCTGTACCCCTTTTCTCGCTATTTTCCCACTGTTTTTTCCTTGCCAAAGTATGAGTTTTTTTACTTGAACGCGGCGCTCTTAATTAGAGCTTGCCCATGAGGTAATGGAGATTCATTATGGAAGCATATCTTCTGCATCTTCCTTTTTTTCCTGCAATTTGTGGAGCAGGCTGCTATATATACGACGCCTCGCTGTTGGAATAACGGTCGACCGTTGGATATATGGCCCACCATAAAGCAGAAGCATCTGGAAGTTTTCCCTACTTTGGACGTTAACAACATCCGGTAAGCCAAGACTCCTGGATTTGGCATCATCCAGAAATTACACGCAGCATCGTTTTCCACCTTTGCGTTTTGCACACGACGCGGTGCCTCCATCCATGTTGCCGTGTGCCTCACATCGAGAAGGAGGGCCTCATTCCATCAAAGACTGTGCACTGCCATTCGCCATCGGCATTCGGAGGGCGGAGTTGTCCAATCAGCTTTTGCTACTTCATTCTTTTTAGGCCCCTTTGTGATGTGCATGGTTCTTTTGCGGCGCCAAAATGTTGCCTTGTTGTCAATTACGTAGCACTTTGTTTGATTATTTTCGTGAAATTGTGAACTACATGTATTGACGATCTTGAATTGTACCAACCACAGGACAATAAAGGCTGAGACACAGCCCGTTAAAAACACGGTAATAAGTATAGCATGCGTCACAGGTAATAAGGTTTAAAAGTTAATAAAGATTCACTAACAGCACCACCTTACCTTCAGTGCCGATTACGAGGTTGACTTGAATCAGATTGCCCCATACGCAGAAACTCCGTACGCTGTTTAGGAAGGGCCAATCAAAGTTCCGCATATCCGCTTGAATGTTGGCGCCGTATTCTTCGCGCAGCGGTTCATCCAGCAGTATTCTGTAAATTATCTAAGATTACCATTATTCGAACTTCCGAACCAGCAAGAGCTAGAATTGTTTTTTAACGTATTCCGTAAGAGCGCATTGTGTACCGCCGGATATCCGTTTAACGAATAAACTTGCGCTTTTACCGAACAATTTTAACATGAAAGTTTTGATCAATTATACAGAATAAAATACTAGGAAAAAGGCAAAAGATGAACGGCATCATCGAACGTTTAGTAACGCCGCTGCGGCTTACCGCTCCTTAATAAGCCGGCTTCCGAGTAAGATTTCCCGGGCTTCGGCAAAATTCAGGAAAATCTTCCTCGTACACGGGCGGAATTTCGCCGGTCGGTGGAGATTGGGGATTTTAGTCTCATCGGCTAACTGAGCGCAGTCGCCATGCGACAGATTTAGCGAGAAGAGCACTTTGCGGTGGATATTGGCGGACAGATAGCCCAGCGACCATTTGGAGGCGGAGTTCAGTAATGCCGCATGCTGCAGCACCACCGGGATTTCATTGCGGATATTCTGCATCCAGACAAAATCCGCATTCTGACACCGGAAGACTTCCTCCGACGTTTCCAGCGCGTTGAAACTCTGCAGGGATAATCCGTCCACAGTATCAATGCTCATTTTTAGATATACCTCCCAAAACTGGAAAAAATAATGTAATTAATCTGATGATAAATTTCAGGAAAACTCAGATTAACTCAGATAAACGCAAGTTCTTAATGAAAGTGGTAGTGCATCAAAATATTTAGTGAGGCATATCCTCTGCACAGCAGTAAATGCTCGACTGGGATATTTTCATCCGGATACGAGCGTTGTTAATACAGATCGCAATAATCAGCACTTTTCCTTCATTTACTCTGACATTTCGCAATTCAAATGCCAGTCAGTCATACACTGCTAATTAAATATTGATGTAATACGCCGGTACATGTGTACACTTCTGTACACATACGGCTTTGTACGTGTGCAGCAGAACCCGGTAATTTTTCTCCTCTCATTTTATAAATAGACCACTTAAATATTTAACCACTTTTCACGCAGCTCAACATTCCACTGTAAATTCCATAAACGTAATGCGATTTTTTGTCATTTACACTCGATGCCGTTTAATTGAAGCTCTTTTTGCATGCGCCGCAACATCGTACTGTAATTTAACGTGCTGATGATCAACTGTAAATATAGCCTGTAATGCGTGGCGTGGTATATTAAAATATAATTACGGTGAATTACCCACACTATAAGGTCTTGTGATGCATCCGATTTATTGAATTAATTCACATTATAATTCAATTTCAAGCTACTTGTGCATTAATGTTTTTAAATTTAATTGCGTATTCACGTTGCTTTTATGTATTGTGCATTTTAACACGCGCATTTGGTGGCTGGTATGAGTACTTAGGCGTCTGTACATATAGGTATCTGTACATGTGCACATTGTGCAGACATGTATTTATTTGTACATACAACATACTTGAATGTACGTGATTTTATTAGATTGCGCAAACTAATATTTTTTTAATTTTTTGTTGACTGAGCTTGTTGAAAGTGCGCAAAGAATTGCTGAAGTACTGTATGGTGGAATTAATTCTTTTCTCTTAACTATAAATGTGCCGGTATAATTTATTATTCCGTGTGCACGGGACATTATTGACATAAAGGTAGAAAACGTTTTTCGTTTGTCCATCGGCCACGACAAAGGATTTTAGTTTTCCGGTTGATTAGCAATTAAGATGAGTATTTTTTACACGATGCATGTGACAAAAACCATGTACATGTACTGTAATATTAATCATTCTAGTTTGATTAACACCGGCAGCTTTTATTTCGACAGTGTAACGTATCGAGATTAGCCAATAAATATTCATGGTTCCTGTTATTGAGTTGTCAGTTAAACGACGGTGAGAGTACGTGGCATCAACAAACAATCTACCGTTAGAATGTACCGGTTAATTAAAAACCATTATGTGATCGGTAGATGACTGGAAATGTATGGGATGCGAATTCCCGACGAGTGGCAGCGGCACAAAGGATGAATAGAAAAAATTATGCAGTATCTCCGCCGGCTATTTGCAGCCAGTCAGCACCTCTACACATCCGATGGATGGAGGGTATTTTAATGGATAAAATTCAATGTGTTTTGCTTTTCATGCGCATCACCAAAACAGACAGCGACGCGATCGTTATTTTTGTTAATGCCGATTGATTTACGTGGCACAACGAAAATGAACGGGATAACGCTATTATTTGCTGCTTTATTAGTGGGATGTTGCCTGATATCCGCGATTAACGCTAAGCAAGGTACGTTATACAGTAAAGCAACATCGATAAAAACTATAAAATAGCAAACTGAGGGAATTTTGGTAATGTTTTTTTAAAAAATAATTTAGTAAAATCTCAATAGTTCCTTGCTGTATGGCTTCCTCATCGTGACCTTGATAAAAAATGCCAAATTAATATTTTCGACCTACGCGTACACGCAGATTGCACCTACATCTGCTTGTTTATTTCCAGTAATATCCGTCGCTGTTTATGCGACGGTAAAAGTTGTACCAAGGTGGATAGGGTGGACTGGTGATGTGACTAAACGTGGCAAAATTCAGTACTTTTTTTGCCGTCAATGTATCGTAGGATATGCAATTTAGCTCATACATTTGTGTATTGTAAAAAATCTTGCTAATGTAATTCTGGACACTAAAATGCTCATGTCAAATTACTGTATAATCCCACATCTGTGATAACCTCCGAATGGATTTTTACCCAAACTGCATAATATTGCTTTGACTGTTTGCTTTGACTTCATGGAAGACAATCAGCTTCCATGTATCTTTTTCGGCAAATTGAATCTTTTTAAATTTTCACAGTCGTTTTATGTAAATTAAATTGATTTTGTTTCTTCTTTTTCTGAACTTGTGATTTGGATTTGACTTATAGCTGTCGACTGCATGCAAGCCCAGTCCCGTGCTCCCAAATCCTCTCTGTGGATCCCACAGTGCGACGCCCAGGGCGCCTACCAAATCACCCAGTGTAACCGCAAAAAGGAGTGCTGGTGCGTCAGCCCCAGCGGGCAGCGCCTGGGTCCCGTATGGGGCCGCTACAAAATGCCCCGTCTGACCGACGACCCGACATGGATGCCCACCGATAGCAAGGCACCGCGGCCCACCTGCGAGATGGTCAACGAGATGTGGGCCCGCCAGACGCCGCTGCTGCGCCAACGCTAAGAACCGGCGCGCGCTGCGGCTATGCCGTTTATGTACACCTGCATCGAACGTCAGACGACAATGACCGCGTTTCACTAATAAACCTTAACCTGATTTCCGTTTGTGGTGTTTGGCTTAAACTGATGATGTTTATCGGCCGATCGTCGGCACGGTTAATTAGACAGATTAAAGTGGAAAATCGGTGAATGAAATATTGAAACAATGCGAATGTAGCAAAGGTCACGTCATATATAAGTGTCCGTTTAAGCACTGCTCATATCATCGATAAACTGGTTGGTTCAATGATTATTGATTGGCAATAATCGAGTAAATCAACGTAAAAAAATTATTTTAACATTACGTATTTATTACGTTTTTCATAGTAAAATAACTGCTATAATTTATATGGAAATATTAGTTCCGTATTTAAAATTAACATAATTTAAAAATCAGTATTAGCACAAAAAATATTATAATAATTACATAATAAAAATATTATAATTATCCTAAAAATGTTATTATAAAAATAATATAATAAAAACTAGTATACGAAATTGAAATAATATAAGAAAATGATCTAATGCGTCGTTGATTTATTAAAAGAAAGTTTTTATTGGGGCTTTGCCTTTGATATAAAAATCGGCATTTACAAGCGCCAGCTTCCTTATTCAATAATAGCGCATCACTTCAGGTTTACGCTTTGATCTGTGGTTATTCAAAGCGTGCATTGACTGCTGGTGATCTAATTAGTATTAAGATTACCACAACGAACACGCGAATTATGTAGTTATTAACTCACAACTGACAAAAGACATTTCCGCAATCACGCCAAAATTGTCGCTTGCATATACATATGCAGAAATAACTTCCGTACGTTAATTTCCGTACACTGATCTGTGGTCGTGTCATGGCGTCGTAACTTGTTGCACTTTAATTACAATTCACCGCATAATCCGATTTGGCGGTCGTGTTAACAAACTATCCGCGGTATATTGGGCGTGTTGTATTGTTGTTATAGTTAATTACCGAATCGAATAAGAAGTTAGATTTCCCAAACAACAATATATGTACACCACGGTCAACAGAAAGGCACGGAGTTTTGTCGTGAAAGTCAAACACCGCCTCGGGATACAAACGAAGGTGAGAGTGATAAAAACACTCGCTACTATCCAATAAAAACCGCATATCATTACTGTGATTTACAGCGGAGCGTTGAGCGGCAATTTGATGTGACATTGAAGCCGGTTTTTCTTATGCAGAAAGTGAAAGTGGTCCAGTAAACTACATAGTAATTATTACAGGTGCAGTAGAACTACCTGTAGTTTCTCTTATTGTTAGAAAAGCACATTATCTATTCGGAAAAATATGGGGCGCCGTGTTATCGTTGCCTTCTTTTTTTGCGTTGCGGTTATTCAGGGAGAATTCCTGGAGAAGCCGTTATTTGAAACCCTCAACGATGGCCAAGCAGAGCCAGGTAATATAATCAGAAAGTACGATAGGTTATAACATTAATCGAAGATAGCATTTTGTATCTTCAATTCATATAATATTATTTACTGAAGCACGTATTCGTTCAGTTAGATATTTCAGTAGAGGTAGCTGTACTTTACTATCTACTTCTCTGCATTTGCACAAAATAATAAAAGCTGTTAATCATTTTTATTTACCAATTAGCGCTAAAATAAGCTGCAGAACTTAAAAAGTAGCCGCCTCGAAATTTACTGACTTTTTATGTGCGATATTTGTAGCTTTGTTTTTGGAAACAGTACCATCAAAAGCAGAAAACGTACTTAGGTTTCTGGCAACGAGGCGTTAAATAAAAATATGTCGTTTGTCAAGAATGTTTTTGGTTGAGAACGTCTTTCGTTTAATAACTCTTAAATAGCGTTAATATTTTGTTTTCTATTAGTATTCTGAAAGTCCCTAATAAATAGTAAATATATGTAGTAATACAATTAATAGCAGTTTGTTACACTAACAAAAAAAATTCGTTGTTGTTTTTCGTTGACAAGGTTTCGTCGATTGCGCCGGCCTCGTCGACCAGACCCCGCCCTCCGCGGTCTGGCAGCCGGCCTGCGATTGGTCCACCAATCGGCTCCTCCCCCTGCAGTCCACCAAGGACGGCCGGCATTTTTGCGTGGACACCATGAACGGCGAGACGGTCTTTGGACCTATCAGCGCCCGCCTCTCCTGCCGGTGTCCGCTGCGCGCCCACACCGCCCGCCTCTTGGACGCTAAGCCGGCGTACATTCCGCAGTGTAGCTGGAAGACCGGGGAGTACCTGCCCAAACAGTGTTCACGCAGCGGAAAATGCTGGTGTGTGGATGAAGAAGGCAATGCGTTGGGTCGGTTCTGGCAGACGCGCGGCGCCACCTATGCGGTCGACAGCAAGAGGGCGGGGCCCGGTGTCAGCTGTGCGACGTTGCGCAAGCAGGCCGCAGCGTCTGCACTGTAATGCACAACAGCGGCGGTTAATTACGGTGTCGGGATGAAACGAAAATTTTGTTGATTATTTGTACAGTATTAAACATGCATCAATGTATTTCTTCTACAAGACGACGACGAATTGGAAAAACCATGGAAATATGTACTTCTATTTACCGAATTAATATCGGACTAAATGAAAGCGCCGAATGCTGTTTTTACAGTAAATGTTTCCATACGCGGTGAACGAACAAAACGTTGTTACGTCCTAACCGTAACTCCGTAAGTAACTATACTGCCAGCTGTCAGTGTCTATAGAATGTTGGTTTAATATTGCACATTTCTAAGCACCGGCTTCGAAAAAGAACAGAAATAACGAAAGGGGTGATATTTTGAAAATCGGACCGGTTGTACAGGCTCGATGAATACTTTGCTTTTTTTCGCGTTCCGACCGCTTACAGAATACACTTTCACGTTCCGTCCACCCGATTGCATTAGTAGCCCCTGCAGTGAGCGGCTACGTGGTTATTTTAAGAGCTGACTGCACAGTTCGGTTTGTTTTTCCCCAGCACGTAAAATTTAATCCTTTAAGTCCAAAGTATCGCACTTCTATTTTTCGTTTTTCGCCAACTGCTTACAATGTTGCATTTTTATTCTTAGTGGTGTGAAATCTATGCTTGAAAACGCTATCTCTATTTTACGGTGATTAATTCTAGTAAATAAAACCAAGTAACAAATGGGTTATTATTAACTAAACCGGTGATTTTAATTGGTGATAATTCCTCGTTTTTATATAGCAAATTCCGATGGAGTCGCTGATCTCTAAACTTCTGTAACTTTGTTTTCTGTTAAATTTATTTGTTGTTCCTTGTTGCATTCGGTTCGAAAATAAACGTTTCTACTGGTTAAAAATTACCTGTATAATATTATAAACTATTTTTATATGGGCCCATGCGGGCAAACTGAAATGGTGGGTGGACGGAATGTGAAGGTGTATTCTGTGAGCGGTCGGAACGCGAGTAAAAGCGAAGTATAAATATTCACGCGATCCACAGCGTTGGCTGTTGTCGGTCGCACTAGCTGAGCGAAGCAAATGTTGGGAAAGAGCGCCGCCTCCACAGTGACTGGTCGTTGGCGTTTCGCAGCTAAGTCCAGCGTAAATTTTGTCTTCTACAGAATTTGTTTTTGCCGAATGAAATATCTCGCGCAACGGCAGCGCTAGAGAAACATAATATCAGCTCAAGACAGTGAGTAATACTTTAAATGCTTTGATACCTGGAGGACTGATTAAATCGCGAAATTGTCAAAGAGATCGACAGATCGACCAGTCTACCGGCTGCATAAGTAGTCTAATAATAATAATGTAGATACCGTTTCCAACTGGAATTTCGATGCTGATAAATTTGTAGTCGCGGCGAGGTTTGTCGGTAGCTTCGTCTGGGCATTTATTTTAATAAGCGCTTATGTTAAGGAAGGGAAGAACGCCAATTGTAGGCGACTTTATCCCAGCGTGCAGCACTCGTGGTCTCTCAAGCCTTTACCGTCAATTAACTTTGTAAAATGAGGCTATCGTCTTTTTTCGTTGTTACTACTGCGATTGCTGCTTCATTATCCAGTAAGTACATCATTAGAAAGCACAACAACCTATTCTAGTACCCGACGAAAACTATCTGTATCTGTACATGATACCAAATACTGTACGTGTGCATATGTACGTGATAACGGAAACTTCCGCTCTCGCGCTGTCCAAAGACTTTTCTGCATTTTTTTGGCCGTTCATAGTCAGATAATTTCCTGTATTGGGGAAAAAGTCGGTTGTGCGCGCAACATCCGGTTGGAAAGTTGTGGAAGTTAAGAAGGTTTCAGAATTTGAGGCATTTGTTGCCACTGGGCAAGGTTTTTCATCTTATCTGTATGTATGCGTTACCACGAGTTAGCCACCAGTTCCGCATCTCTCCGGAAACGCGCCTACTGTCAAACGCTGTGGTCTTTTATATTCCAAATATCTTTAATCTATTTATATATATATATATATATCTTTTTATTTATTTCTTTTTTTTTATCTTTTTATGTTAAACATGTTGTGCAAACGTATTTCTAATAATATACGAGTACAAGCTTGCCCCGCAATATCCTACGCTTGACTACTGTGCAAACTACAAACTGATGGGTTAAGCTATACTTTATACTACGGCGCGCCTCCCGAGCCGTAACCAGTTGGAAAAGCATTGCAAGTATGAATATGTGTTAAGCAGGCAAGAACGCTTTTCTCTTTGATGCTAGTGCTGGGCATTTATGCGCACTGGATGCGTCCCTGCTCTGTTTGCTGATTTAAATTAAATTTAAGAAAATTTAATTGTTTAATTTAATGTACCTTTTTGAGCCGCGGTCAGATTGGTCGATTTGCACCTTTTTGTATTGTACTTCAACATAACGTGAAGAATCACCGACTGGTTGACTTATAAATCCCACGATTCAGGTGCCGGTATTTACTCGTAATTTGGGCTGTCGTTAGAGAAAGTCTAAGCGCTGTTTAGGCAAAAATCGATGCGCGTCCGACCTACATCAGACTTCCGTCTTCCGTCTTTACTGTACAACAACGTATTGTACTGTATATTACACGAGTAGCGTCAGCCGTCACTACCCTCGTATCACAAGCGATTCCGTATTATCGATCGTGTCCTTTACAGTCCACATGTACAGATACTCTAGCATTCCTACACGCCGCCATTCGGAAATTCCACAGTTGCTGTTCGTGGTCCATCACACCTGCCGCCAACATACCGTCCTAAATTTGTACTACTTGCGATTGAATTCCTAATTCGCGTTTAATATTGCGTTTTGATTGCCGGATGCGTAATTCAAACTTCAAATAATCCATATAGCCATCAGTACTGCAGTTGTAAGTACCATTTTTACTTTATACATGTGAGTTGTATTAAGAAGGTTTGTTTTTATCGTATCGCTTTATTCATAATTTTGTATCTAAGCAGCCAACAGTTTCTGCTCCTTTCGCCCGCGAATGCCCGTATTTTTATTGCAGTCTATTCAAAAAATCTTCAACCCCGCCCGAAAGTTTACTAAGCAGGATGGCTGAAAATATGACTCTGTTGCTGAAGAATCTCAAGAAAACGATCAAACGCCCTGAGAAATGCAAGTAGATCTTCTTCATTTTCTGTAATCTAAGAAATATTAAAAATTTCCGTAAAAACGGACGTGTCCCTAACTTGTATTATAAATTTCTGCCTGTTTGCAGCTGATTATCGCAATGACGGTCCCGAGCAGGGGCATGTTGTTATTCGTGGTAAAATTTGTGCCATTTATCAGCAAATGTGTGCGCATTTGTTGCTATCCACGTTACGATTAATCCTGGAATGCTTTCCATTTGTGTGGGAAGCTTACATAAATTTAGCCACACATGAGAAACCACTGGGTCTTCTACATGACTGCGACAACAAAACACAAACCGTATGTATCTTGCAGTTACAAATTTACAATTACGCAAAATATCGTAATTTTCGACACTGAAGCCTCTTATACCGTATAACCTTCCCCTTAACATACAGTATTTCAAAAATCTTTAGTAACCTTCTCTGTATTAAAAACCTCCGACCATAAACGGCGTACAGCAGCAACTTATAACAATAAAAGTACTTCACAAATGCAAATGCTTTATAGGAAGTAGTGCAAATGCTTTGAAAATTTAAAAGTTTTGTTAAAATTACAAGCATCCACTACTGGTTAAGGCCACATACCTTTCCCCGAGTACCTTTGGAGATTTAGGAACCCACCGCTTTGGGTTCAAAAATTATGCAAACATCACAGCAGGAGTAACTAGTATTTGTTTGTCTGCAGCCACTACGATATCTACCGAAAAACGAGACGGACACGCCTACGAATGGCGCACGTCCGCCCGTTGGGATTGATTGGGTTCTTTATACATTACTTTTGGGTATAGTAATATGCTTCTGGGCGTTATCACTACTGAACTGGCGCATAGTAAAAAGACGTGAACGATGGCGTCCAGACGCAGAGAGCGCACTGTTGCCTGAGGTTATCGCATCTCTGGACACCGTCTCCGGGTCGGTGCTGCTAATGACGGGAATGTGTTGTGTCCTACTGCTACCATTGCTCGTGTTGGATAGTTCTGGTTGGAGAAGTTTCGTACACGTAAGGGCTTGTCCGACCACGAAAGCCATCGAGATGATCCCGGAGCTGTTGATGACGACGTGGAAAGTCTTGTTAACTGTCATTATTCTCAACGGATGCTCCGTCTGCTTCAAAACTTCCCGATTGGCCAAGAAACTGCAAGCGCATATTTCATATCAGATAACAATTACACCGTTGTAAGTTGGATTAATCCAGCTACCACACTGGCAAAGCGATTATGGGTTTACCACGATGATATGCCAGCGGATCTCTCCAACTTATCCGAAACGACGACCAAAATGCGCTGTAAATTATGGATGTCTTTGGGCTGACGTCGGCTGCTGCCGTTGTGAACTTCGTACATAAACTTACCAACTTAGTATTTTATTTACCGGCCAACTATCCGGCTTATATTAGTGTAACTGTTAATTGTGTTTTGGAATATTGTACATGAGTATTTGTATGAGAAAAACTCTGGCGTTATTAGCAAATTTGCGACTAACAATACATTCTGTACTGAAGTTTAGTTTGTGCACTTGGGTTCTGGAAACTCACAAGGTAAAATTAACGATTCCAATCACCCATGGCTGTAACTTGAACTGTTACGTCTGCCGTAAATTTCAAACTTTCATACTTATTCTTGTTATTTTATTAATCACTATTGACATAATTGGTACTACCGTATGTTGCATGAGTTTACTATGCGCTTGTGTTCCCTGTTGTGTTAGCCATGACGTATTCCATCAGTGTCCTTATTGGTAACCTCCGATCAGAAGCTGCGCTTCGTCGTCGGCTAGCATTGAGCAGGTACGGGGGACTTGGTTTGAACATCATAGTGTTTAAAATGCTTAACATCATTGTGATCCTGGCTTATGCATTGAGTGGCCTTCGTTTAGGGCAAGCAGTAGTGTGCACCTAAGCGGAAGTTACGTGTTGGTATTCTTGCGTTGTGGTAATGTGAGTGTACTGACATCCCGTGTGACGTACTGTGTAGTGCACTGTTGTCTACGCAAGTAGAAGTATCCTTCTCTGTTGACTACGGTCAGGTTGGTATAGTATACGCGGTGCGTATTATGTCACTACTTAAAATTTAAAGATTATTTAATAGTTGCGAATATTGCTTATATAATATTATTAATTTCTGCCTTCACTGTTTGTTTATCGGTAGTGTTCATGTTCTCGGTAATAACGCGTTCCGTAACTAAAAGGTCACAAGCAGCACGTGTACATTAACAGCAATAAAACTACTCGAGAAAAACCATCAAACTCTATCCACAACAAACGAGACAAACACTGACACGAAATCTTTAACCAAAAAAACTGCTAAAACCATTATAAAAACGCTAAAACATCAGCTGCGCTTCTTCTCCCGGACAGAGGCCAAAAACGGCCACAACACTCCAAATAAGGCGTAAAAAGCGTTAAAACAAATTAATTTAAAATACATATGTGCTTCAACAAGGGCACCGTTCCCGAAAACATCCCTTCATGCCGCGCAAAAACTTCCATGGAATAAAAACAGGCAACAGAAAGGAGGATAAAATCAGCCAGAATTAAAACGCGAGTCCACGATTAACAGATAATAAATGCCATTGCAATGCCATCAGTTCCACAGTTACATAACGATGCAATTTCTCTGCAACAGAAAAACACAATTTAAAAAAGAATGTCTCTGCGCGAAAACGCGAGTTTCTGCCCATAATTTCGAGTCATATGCCAGCCAGGTATTACTGATAAATTATATCAACAACTTTAAACTGACTCACATTGAGCTACTTGATAAAATCACCGCATTAAGTGAAAAACTGCGATAATAATGATACGTAGTATTTCAATTTTTACCATCATATTGGGCAACTTGGCTAGAAAAAAAAATAAAAACCAAAACCAGCCATTTCAACTCTTTGCTATAATAACAATAAAAGCCGGGTTATCGTTCAACGATAATACGATCGTACAATTAATATTTGTGGCAATTTTGTGCACAGACAGCACGGTATCTATTAGTATTAGTGTTGACCAGCAACAGCTGCAGAAATGTAATAAAAGATTACTAATTTAGTAGATCCTTATTAGAAAATTATCAAAACATAAGATAATAAAACATAACAAAATATTTAAAAAAATATAAATTTATTGCTAAAGCCAAAATAATAAACAATTACCAATGTAACACATTCTCATTATAAAAGGTTTATCGAACTATCTAACAAAAAAATATCACAAATAATCACCAAGAAAATACCAATTTATTGTAACAAGGACTTTTAATAAGAGCTACACAAGCCGGAAAGAAATGCCACGCGATGCGACCCACCTGCTCTTCTCCGCCGTCCACTTCATCGGCGTTGGCGCCGGCGGCCAGCCGTCGCCGTTTACCGCCCACGACGGCCTCGCGGACCATCTCGCGGCGCGCCACATCCTCGCCATCGGCGTTGGACAGCGTCACCGACGTGTACCCGCCCACCAGCCAGCGGCCGTCCATAACGATGTCGCTGGGCGGGTCGTGCACGACGTTGGCGTTGGCCGACCAGATCTGCAGTAAACAGAGACCATCACCGAATTTTTCCTATGCTTATGCAGTTATTCGCGTGGTGCAAGAACAGCGTACCGTCATGGTCGAATGGGCGCGGAGGATGGTCTGGCCGTGGATACGGTAGCGGGTCTCGTTGTCGCTGCCGTTGTCCGACTGCATGTACAGTGCCCAACCGCCCACGTTCACATCCTGCAATAACACCAATTTTTCACCAATAAATTAACAAAATATCACGGTGTTAATTGATATTAACTGTACAATTAGAACCAAGGACGCAGAAAATTTTTTTCTTGCAAAATTAACGATTTAATAATTTATTATCAACAAATTAAAAATTACCCATATATATTTATTACACAATCCCACATTACGTAGCATAATATTTTATTCCAACTAACCATGTGATAAAAATAAAACAACTAAATCAATTTATTAAATAATTAAAATAATAAACACTTAATCAATTTATTTATTTCAGTTCACTCAACTTCACTGCTTAATCGATAACTATTAAATTAAAACACTTCTTTCGTGCAGGTCAGCGAAGCGCACTGGAAAGTAAATTTCCCGAAACAGATTTAAGAATTTAAAATAAAATTTAACTCGTTCCGGGGTTACGAAAAATTTAAAAACTGCAAACAAAATCAGCAACAACTGGTTCAAGCAAAAAAATAAAATGAATTCCACAAATTATCACACGTTACCCACCTCCTAAATGTGCGAATCAGCTCCAGTTTACGCAAGCATTAAACATGCACAGTGCATTAGACGGTGTTTAGCAACGAGCACTGTACCGATGGATAGAGAACCTTACCTGCGCAGAACGGTTCTCCAGACGGACAAACTGTCCGTCGGCGTCAATCTCCACGACATGGACATCGCCCTTGGCCGATGCCTCATTGCGCAGTCGCGTGCGCGAGATCGACTGGTCGCTGCGGGTCACGCGGCGTCGTTTGACGCCGCTGCCGCCCGGGGTTGCGGGGAATGGATGGATGGGAGTCAGGTTCAAACTAAAACAAACATCATACAGTGGATCGATTACTTCGAGAAAAAAAAACAAAGCCAAACATCTCGCGAAAATCTAACTCATTAACACCTTCCGAACATTTTGAGCAATGACTTGAAGGTGAGTGTCCTTAATTGACCGACTTTAAAGTCACTTCACTGCGATTGTATTATGAAAATTGCAATGTGCACTGCTAAACAGTTGAAATTACTAGTTTATTAAATCGGTACAACTGCCGTAATTTTACACAAAAATTACTGTTCAGTCAAATTTACGAGGTATAAATGCCAACTGCATTATTTCCTGAAACCGACTAAGGCAAGAATTCTCACAGTATTTAAATAATCCGGTATGATGCTGGATTTCCCGGAAAACAAAACCATTAGATAAAAAAAATGTGGTATTGCAGTGAATTCTTCAGGCTGCGTTATGTCTCAGCCTGTCGCGTTGAAATAAAACTCACAATTTAGAGAGAAAACAAATACCATAACATGGAAATACAACGCCAGTTAAAACAAATCATTAATCATAACTACAAAATTTGGAAAAAACTGAAATACAGCGGAAAATACCAAATTACACATCAATTTAAATTTCGGCAATAATTTATACATAATTAAGTTACAGTTAAGCCTAACAACTAAGAAAGGCGCTGTCAACATTTAAATTAACGGGACAGAAGGATCAAGATTATGTTGTTTACCGTAGAACCATAAACGTTTTGCCCAAGAAATCTTTGAGGAAATGAGAAAAGTCCACCGAAGAAAGTTCTCAACTACGGTACTATGTCTCTAATTTCTTTGAACCATTCTATTTTTTTCAGTTTCGATTTATTTATTTTATCAACGCTTACAAATTCTCCAAGCTTTCTAAAACTTTCTAAATTTTTCTTAATTTTCGGCTGATCTATTTAACAGTGTATATTTTTCTGTTAATTTTTTTCTTGATATATAATAATTTATTTATTAATTTCTACTTCTTTCCTAATTATTCCCATTTACCGGTCCTCTTCGGTGCGCAGCAGCGTATGGTACGTGGCCAGTTCCGCGTCCAGCTGGATACGTTCACCCAGCAGCTCTTGGTACTGCGCCATCAGATCCGACAACTCCCGGTGCGTCCGCTGCAGCTCCTCCTGGCGGTCGGCCAGCAGCTGCTGCAGCCGCTGAACATCCGCATCCTTCTCCCGCAGCTCCCCCTCCAGCCGCGCAATCATGGCGCGGTACTCCTGGCTCTGCCGGTCCGTCTTGCCCTGGATGTCCTTCAACTTGTTCTGCGTCAAGCGCAGTTCCTCCAGCACCGCGCGGCCGTCCTCGGCGTTGCGGTCGGCCAGATGCGCCAGATCGTCCAGCTGTGTCTGGTAGTTGCGCTCCAGTTCCTCGCGGGTGTCCCGCGCGATCTGCTCCATGTCGGCGCGCAGGGCGTCCAGCTGCTCGGCGATCTTGGAGTGGTAGTGGTCGGTCAGACGGGTCTCCGTCTCCGTGACCTCGATGACGCGCTGATTACGGAGATTCGTGATTTGCTGTTCAGAATAAAACACCACGAAATGACAAGGTGCATAATACTGAATTCAAACAATTTTAGGCAGTAATGAATTTGTACTCGTACCGCGTTCGCTAAGTTTTCAAAAACAAATAATTATAAAAAAATTAAATACGATAATAAATCTTAAGAATAATATTAAAAAATATATCAAGATATTAATAACAAATCAGGATTCAGAAATTCAAAATTCAAATCAGGATTCAGGTTTCTAGGCAAAAGGCTTCACCTACAAATTTAGAACACAATTTCCTTAAGTTTCGAAAAGAAATAAAAAATAAGTAATTAATTCGAGAACAGCCAATAAAGCTTAACATTACAATGTCCTGGCGTGATTTATACGGGCATTGGCCTAATGAACAAACAAATAACAACCATAAATAACTTTAAATAAATAAGCGATAAATACGAATAAGAATAATATTCATAAACTGATGAAAAAATAATAAATTATCGTTCCAAATTAATTAAATTTTGATAAAGTTTAACGTTCCAATTTCCGGAATAGTTCATACTTGTAAGTTGTACGGACAATAGCCGTATACTATGCAAATGTAATAACTAGTTCAGCTAACACCGGACTAGCAGTATCAACCCTGTTGAGAGCGGCAAGCACAAAAAAGAATGGTAGTCGATAATTTTACCAAATTAAATTGTCATGGTTTTCCATCTTGAGATTTATCCGTAGAAGTATTCGCAATACAAAGAGAGAATATTTAACGTCCTTGCGACACTGCACTACGAATTTCACAGAACAGACCTTACTGCCTACTTATACATTCGACCGGCACGGTTTCAAGGCAAAGGGCTTCACTTATAAATTTAAAACAGAAATAAAAAATAGTAATTAATTTGAGAACAATTAATAGAGCATTTTATGAAAAATCTAAGGAAACAAAACCAAAATATCGAAAACAATACAGGATATCATTATCCAACGATATGTTAATGCAGGCCTTACTTCGGCGTGAAGGTTCTTCTGGAACTGTAATTCTTCCTGCGTGGATAGTAGGCGATTCTCGGCGTCAACACGCTTGACGGTCTCCGCCTGCAGCTCCTTCTTCAGCTGCTCCACCTGGGCTTGCAGATCGCGAATTTTGGCATTCATCGTCTAGGATACGATGAAATAAAAATTCAATCAAAAAATTCAATTAACAAACCCTAGAAAGAGTGGATTTAGGAGAAGCTAACAATAAGCTCATCACCTTGATTTCATCATCATGGTCACGGATCTGGTCGCGGAGATTGGATAACTGCTGGCGAGCGTCACGCAGAGCATTCTCCACTTCCTTCAGCTTTTTCTGCAGTGCGGCCTTCTCCTTCTCCAGAGCATGGTTCCTGTCGATTAATCCACAGATTAAGTATTAACTGATTATCTGTACTCACTAGCACTGGATTATACGCGTTAAATCAGAGCGTAATAAACCAGTCGAAATATTAAGCAACACAACATAGTTATTTAACGCTAAATTATCTTGTAATAGTTTTTTTTCCGCAAAGTTTCACCTATTGTTAAAAAAAACTTGCTTATAAAAATAGTGAATTATTATCTGAAATAGCGCGGTCAGAGATGAACATACGAAGCTACAAAATGTCTGTCAAACCCGGTTAACTCAACAAGACAGGTTACTGGAAAAAAAGTAAATTAATAACTACATTAAAATCGAAAATAAATTAAAAAATAAAATATTAATTTAAATTAATTTACAGAGAAGTTCTCAGTGACAACATAACCTGGCAGAGTAATAAAATTCTGTCCAGTTGTTACGATTATCAATGGTTATTCTGTTTCAATGACAACAATGATCTCTGTGAAATACTGCAGAAATCGGCGATAAGATATACTGCAAAAATACAGTAATATGAACAGAAAAATAAAAAAACGAATAAAATAAATATGAAACAAATAAATAAAATAAATCTTCATACCTGGCCACGTAATCCTTGCTCTCGTTGCGCAGTTCATCGCGCTCGGTGGTGGTGGCGGCCAGGTCCCGGCTGACCTCGTCCAGCGCGTGCCGCAGATTGGCGACCTCCCGGTCGTAGGTGTCGGCCAGCCGTTGCGCCTCTTTGGACTCGGTGGTGTTGATCGACTCGACTTTTCTCTATACCACACAGGCAAACAGCAACTTATCAGCTCCGATAATCACCCACCCTAGTTAACCGATCTCTCAAGCCACAACTGCACCCTTGCACAGCTAATCCACCGCTGCCGGTTGACATATTAAATGACATATACGGAATCAAAACAGAAATAACGGCAACAACTGTAGCATAATAACGATGACATTGTCCGCTAAACGAATAGGCGATAATTATTCTTATTACCGATAATACAACTGATTCATGGTAAATAGAACAGCAATAATAATCATCCATGGCAATTTCACCGAAGAGATTTCGAGGAATATGGGCGTTTCACAAGTTCGAGTCTTTCAGAATCAAAACGATTTCCGGTAAAGAATTAAAGGCAAAAAGCCCTTAACAATTTCTTGTATAAAACAACTTTTTTTCCGCAACGTTATCAACGACCAAAGCAGGTAATGTACTTAGTATTTCACCGCAACCCTAAGCCATGAAAATTAAACGCCAGAAAATTAAAAAATTAAAAAAATATCGAATAAAATTCGGCTTTTTATGGCCGTACAAGCCACGACGGAATCATTGCGAGCTGAATCTACCTACTGTAATAAAAACAAATGTTAATAATCAACAACAAGAATGATAACGAAATTTTTATCGACAATCTTCACGACTCATGCGTAAATGACGACTGAACTACAGTATTTAGCAAATGCAATCGCGGTCTTTAAAAATCGAAACTATCCAACACTCTCCGTTACCTTCAGCACGCCGATCTCCTGTTCCTGCGATCGAATAATATCGATGTAGGTGGCCAAGCGGGAGTTCAGGAGCGCAGTTCCTCTTTCTCCTGGTGCCGGGAGAAGGGCGACGCGGCCAGCCCCACGCCGCCGCTGGCCTCGATCTCGGCGGTGACGGAGGCGAAGGCCGGGGCCTTGCGGGTGCGCGTCTCCACTTCCGACCGCTCGTACACCGTCTCCGTGGTCTCCGTGCGGTGCGAGGATGAAGAGCTGGCGGCGGCCGACACCGCGCTGCTGCTGCTCTTCTGCTGCGAGCCGCCGCGTTTGCGAGTAGCCGTCGACATGGCGAGGGATGACTACCTGTATTCCAACACAAAATTCAGTGAAACACATCTAATCGTGATTTCATTGTTACATGGTATGATGGTACGTATTTCACTTCCGGTGCCAGGGGCACTATTTGTACTGTCTCACATGTGACATACATGAGCATCGATTTTCTCTTCCAGAACATACATAAACAATTTTCTAACAGGTAATTGCGTAACATCTGCTTCCATTCGTTGTTGTAAAATGGTACATTTACTGTGAATAGTTGCGTTGTAATTTGTATGTACTTAAACTAATTTTTTTAGATGAGAGATCGGTAATTATTAGTAACATTTGTAACACTCGAAGTAGAATAAGTTTCTTTTGAATCCATTGTCATGACAAGTTCACACTCAAGTTGCTCAACAAAAAGTATCCATGCATACCCACAGCAAAGTTTTCGTAGAGTTTGGGCTCAATCTGCAGCAAATCGCATCAAGGACATGCGTAATTACGTGCACTAATCGGGCACAACCACTATTCGTTAAGGCTTGGTACGGGCCGTTCGCCAACTTAATTTTTGAGTACTTAATTTTAAATATTTATTTTTACTTTGCAAATTAATTTCTAAGTATTTTGTTTTAAATATTTTTCTACTTTGCAAATTGATTGTTAAATTCTTATTATGCATTTAAGTTCTGAAATCCATTTTAAAGGACGCAAAATTAAAAATTAATAACAACAACGAAAAGCCAATGTGGAAAAACTGTTTCATGGCACTTTTCGCAAACGAGAAATTCAGAAGAATACCGTCTAACGATAATTTATTCGCAGCGCAACGGGCCATAAACCTCACAAGCTGCAAATTTGCACCCAGACCAAAAACGCTCATGCCGAACCCTATTGTAAACTCAATACAGCACAGCGATCAATCAAATCCTGATGGCTGCAAAAATCACTTTGCGTGCTGATCGCTCATGAGAGCATGTGGAAGCTGAAAACTGCACCATTTACACATGGAGAAAATATAAGCCGGTCATATTTCCATACTGCACAAGCACGCCAACTACACATTTTCACATCCAAACAAATTGCAGACGGAACACGCGCTCGTGCATAAGAAATGCCTAAATGTTTAAAGAATATATGTGTTTATTTTAAAACTAAAAATTCAGTCGTCCGTTACCAAAGAAATGCGCAGTCAACGGTGACGCATCGAAATATCATAGCTGTTGAAAACAGTTAGTAGTACTAGTAATGTTGTGTGCTCAGGTTGTAACTCATCAACGGATTCCGTACGGAGAAAAACGGCGTGTCAGCGATAAGAAAATGTAAACTGTCAGAAATGCAGAAAATATTTCGCGTTGCACGAAGATCCAATGAAGACGGCAGACACTTGAGACAGCGCGACATTCCACGCGGTGTCAAGGCATTAATTAAATTAATCACCAGGTGAAAGCTGTTTCATAACTCCAGAGTTCGATGTCTGCATGGTATTTTCGCCGCAAGGAAAATTGACAGAAAATAACAATTTCATGATCTTGTTTACTTTTGGACTTTATTCAATTTATACTGTTCTAACTTTATGAAGTTGATAATATTTTACGTAGTTGAAAATGTTTCTCAAAAATGTTTTCAAATTTGGTCGGTTTTTTCCGTTTTTAGCCTCATTTTATGTCCAAGAGAGAAATAGCAAAAAATCGGTAATTTCACAACCTTATTCATTTTTCGAAATATTCTTGTAAAAACTAATAAACTGGCCGTCCAAATACATCGTAAAATTTAAATTAACCAAAACAATATAGGTAACGTTATTCAGGATCAACTTTTTTATACACGCGTACTTTTCCATTCGACATTTTCTGTTTTGCTTCAATTTTTTACAAATGAGGTATCGTTACGCTTTAACATAATATAAATGTATTGGTTATTTACTTATCTGCGTTAAAATTTAGAAAATTCATCGAGGTTTAATCTAAAATTCAGTGTAAATACAACGCATAATAAGTCACATATGACGTATTAGTCAACATCAGGAGGAGATATTTATCTGCAGTGTGAGGATCAAATCCAGTGAAAGGTTCCCCAGTTTATAAAGAAACGGGAAAACGAGCTTCCATCGAAAAACTATGCGGAGGGCTGCGATCACAACGTTCCGAAAATTTCGCACTAAAATGCTAGAGTAGCACATCCAAGGTTTTCGGCGTACTTCAGTAGTAATTTAATCAAAGTTTCAACAAATACGTTATACGCTGTTGAGGGCGAGCACTTACGGTCAATTAGCCGATCAAAAGATAAGAATACGAGTCGAAAGTAAATATTCCAACAAATTCCCGCAAAATTTGAGATAACCAAGAGGGTATTAATCCCGCAAGAGGGTTTCCCGCGAGCTGCAACTTCGCGTAAAGAACTTCAACGCGCTCAAGCGTGTATATTACGGAGTGAAAATGGCCAGACAGAACAGACAGACAAAATCGATATGGTAGCCGGCTTTGGCCGTTCTCTGCGCGGCTGCCGTAAATACCGTATGTATTTCATAGTCGGCAGCCGGCTGCTGAGTCACAGAGAGAAACACAACGCGAGCCGGAAACAGAGCGAGAGAGGGAGATAGCAATGCACTAGTAGTGACGTTGCGCAAACGCACTTCTGGTGGCAGTTGCTTGTAGCTCGTAGCTTTTATTGCCCCTAATCCTGTCTGTCCTCTGTTTATCGTAGATAGAGCACAGACAGGATAAAAGGCGTTAAAAGCTACGAGCAACCAGCAATTGCCACTAGAAGCGCGTTTGCGCAACGTGACTACTGAACAGGAGAGCAACTGCTGCGGCATTCTTCAGGTGACGCGCATACTGGTGGGCTAGGCTACGTACGGATTAAAGTGCCGTACAGTCGGTACTCGGTAGACTCGGTACAGAGCTACTGTTACAAACTGTATAATATTATACAGTAGTACAGACTATCGGCTTTCGATAGTACGAAATTAATTTTTAATGCCGTTATTCTAAACCGGTTTAGGCGAATGTACCGTAGACGTAATTGAAGATTTCCAAACAGTTTCAAGAAAGTTCCTGTCCTGCAGAGCTTCCACTGAATTTTCTTGTGTGAATGTTTTTGATAGGTGTACAAGTATATTTTCTGCAATTTAATACTTTGCTGTTTACGTTTCATATAATAGTTATATTATTATGAAAACAAGAAAGTGCATTATTATTCTTTTGCAATAATAATGTGCGTGATCAAGCTGTCTTATTTTCAGAAGAGCTCGTAAAATTATTCTACTGTCTTGTACATGAATTGTATCATATATACAGACACTGCATTTCTGTAGAAGTTCGTATTATGTCGTTAATAACGACATAATACGCATACGTATATATATGATACAGTTCATGTACCAGAAATAACTCCGCTTTTGGATATTGGGACGAGACATGCGCAAATTATAAAACTGCTGTTTTGGGAACTTACAGGCATTCCACTTACAGGTGGCTGCATTTCTCGATGATTTTCTGGAGCTTACCGAAATTTTGAATGGAATGTTTCCTGATCGTGATGCAGCCATGTGCCTATCAGACGGAAAAATTGGTAAACCAATTTTTTGACTAGAATAGGTAGCAAAAATGCATACTTAAAGTTTGTTAACTTTGGATACATACGGTAATACGTTAATACCCATACGAGTACATTCGAAAGCACATAAATCAAGTGATTCAAAGTCAAGCACGCTTGCAGGTTCCGCGTGGCATTCTCCTGGACTTGGCTTTTGGTCATTTGCGAGTGCCTTTTGTTTCGGATGGTCAACTCCAGCGTCAACTCTATATACAGTACAAGACAGCGGATAAGGGAAGTCTGGCGGACCGACGTCCACTACAGAGTAGACTTCCGTTGTCCGCTTTCTTGAAGATAGACTTGTCACTTCCGGTGCGGGAATTGAGGTATCAGGATACGAATAATATGGCTATATCGCAAACGCATTAGCGCTTTGCATTGCGTACTATATGCAGTGCCAATCGCAAGTGTATCTGCGATAAACGCGATCCAGAATTCCACCGGGTAGCGGCGGGTACACGCTGCATTCCCCACTCAACTACCAGTACGCCCGCCAGTTACACAAGAAGCCCAAGATATATTACTTACTAGCGGCGGTTGTTAACCACATTATTGCACGAGCGCGAGCGCCAGTACCACTGGGTAGTGGTACTGGGTTTCTGGAATTGGTAAAGTGAGCCGTGACGCTCTTCGTGGCGTCAGACAAATTTGTGCTCTTGACGATCAGTTAACTGCTTACTGCACTACTGCAGCACCTCGCGCTTCGCGCTCGGTGCAAATTAGAGCTACGCTAAGTTGCCTTTTAGTTGTGAACAGGACGACAAACGTTATTAATTTTATACGGGCATTTGACTTGTCCGAACTTTTCCGCAGACATCTGTCCGGTTTGACCAACTGCGATGTGGTTGTCACAGTAAATTATTTATGCTACCGTATTGTTATGTTTTAATTTGGTGTCGTTTACAGATTGTACGATAGTGATTCTGGGGATCTTCTTCTTGTACCCCTTACTGCGTTTTTACAATAAAATTTTCCTCTTCACCATCGCCATTCGGAAATGACGTACTGCAACCTAAGCGAACCTGTGGGGTATTGTTGGGCCAATATACATGTAAAGCTTAGACGCGCCAGATTACGTGATAAAACTTTTAACCGGCTCCGACGATAAATCATAGAGTCGTTCATGCTTTAGGGAAACATAAAATATTATAGTAATGCGCGCTCATGTGTGCAGCTGATTAATTTTTGAAAGATTTGCTGTAATACGGCTGCAACATTTGCAATACATTTACTGTTACTCGTAAAACTGCTAAACAAGATAATTTACTGTCATACTGGCGATGTGGTACTTATGTATTGTACTGTACATACATGATACAGTCATGTACAAGTATGTATGACCACTTATGGAGCACAACATTTATTCGTACAGCTGCACACCAGATTGTATTATTTTAGTTCTGATTATTATTAAGTAATCACACTCGCGTGGAGCCAGGTACCCGAAATTCCGGTAAACGGACAGGACGCTCACTTCTACACCGTTGTACACGGAATATACTTAAGAACACGTACACTATCTGACAAAACAATTTATTGTCAATGGTTGTTATTGTCAAATGTCTGCAACGCTTCACATTCCCGGGGCAGAGCCCACAGCTACCATACTGTACACATCAACAGTCATAAAATAATAAAACAGTGTTGAATATCGTGATGCTTCCCAACTCGATATCTTTGCAACGTGGTTTAATAAACGCAAGAACTATCCAAAGAAATCTTGATTGCAATATTGACGCCGGCAGGGTATGGTTGCGCGCTAACAGTGGCGTACACTGCAGATTTTTCACTGGCTTCCTGAGCGGTTCCACCAGCCATGAATTATATCGCAGTAGGTATCGTGACCGCCATCATAATCATAATTTGTGAAAGGATTTGGAAAACATTCACCGAATACCGGCGTATCAAGCAATGCCTGGATCTTCTTCCGGGGCAGAAACCTCGCCACTTTCCCATTGGTCACTACGGTTCTATTAGCACCAAGCATGACGGTAACGCTTTAAATGCGGCGATATTTAGTCCACAAAATATGCACTAGTTCCCTTAACGTACTTTATAGGCAGCGATTTGTTGCAGAGTATTTCAAGGAGGTCTACGAATTTTTCACCCGTGAGGAATCTCCGCTGGGAATTTATCAGTTTTGGTCGGGTCCCTTTCCCTATGTCGTGTTAACGAAGGGCGTATCGGCTGAGTTAGTCCTGAGCAGTTCCAAGCACATCGAAAAAGGCCGGGATTATGATTTTCTACGGCCCTGGCTAGCGACCGGTCTCCTGACCAGCACCGGTGATAAATGGCGGGGTCGACGAAAGTTCCTCACTCCGGCCTTCCATTTTCAGATCCTCACGGATTTTGTGGAGGTGTTCTATGAACAGAGCCTGATCCTGGTTCAGCAACTCGAGGCAAAAATTGACGCTGACAAGGAAGCGTTCGATATTTATCCTTACATTACGCGATGTACATTGGACATTATCTCCGGTAACTACATTATATAGGGGGAAAAAGCAGGCTACTCGAACCATTCCCTTGTTCCCTGCTGCCGTCAGCCGGCTGGAGTTTTACGGTGTGGCTAAACATGGTGCTTGTGTACCGCGCCTGATTTAACCATATGTACTGCCGTAACGTCACACTCCAGCCGGGTGACGGCAGCAGTGCCGTGAATTGGTTCGACACTTCGACTGTCATGGTTTTCCCCCCTATTTTATACTGTAGGACTAAAAAAGTGAAAAATTCGCTCCGTAATTCAAAAATTTAATAATAATCAACAAATAGGGAACACAAAAATCGCACCCGAAGCGCGTACCATGCTAGCACTGGATGGGAAAACAGGAAAGCGTTTCTTTACGCAATATGCGTTAATACATAGCATTTACTATTTTTAATCCCACATTTTAGATGGACCTACTCTATATTTCGCTTACACACATTTCAATTAACAATCGACTGTTTGTAGAAACCGCAATGGGGAAAAAGATCAACGCCCAAACCAATAGCGAATCAGAATACGTTAAGGCAATTTACAGGTAATCTAGACTGCAGCGATAAATACAAGTAGCCACATACATGTCGATTAACTGTTTTATCGCAGCGTATCAGATATAACGTTCGATCGTATGATCCGCCCAACCATGATGTGGGACCCCATCTTTTACATCCTTGGCCGAGGTCGACAATTTAAGCAAGATCTGAAAACACTGCACGATTTTACCGATAAGGTCATCGTGGAGCGTCGAGTGGGTGGCATCGACAGGCGCCGCAGTAGCGCTGCTGTTACTAACTCAACCGGCCGACGTATACAGCGAATGGCATTTCTGGATTCCCTTCTGCAAGCGCGTACCGATGACGGTCAGCTGCTTGATAACGCCAGCATCCGCGAGGAAGTGGATACATTCATGTTCGAAGGGCATGATACAACGGCCGCAGCGGCCAATTTTGCCGTATACCTGTTGGGCCGGCATCCGTTCGTACAAGAAAAAGCACGGACGGAAGTCGACGCGGTATTCGGACGGTCCCAGCGGTACCCAACGGTCGAGGATCTGAAAAATTTACCATATTTGGACAAAGTTCTCAAGGAAACGCTGCGACTTTTCCCGTCGGTGCCATTTATTTCCCGTAGGGTAAACGAAGACTTCCATGTCGGTAAGAAAGAACGTAGGTGTCATAAGAAAACGTATTGCATTTTGTCGATATAAGTAATAACTTCAAGGATTTTCGAGGTAACGCCTTTTTTGCTATATTACAGTATAATAATTTTTCATAAGAAGCACTCATCTCTGACATTGTTTTTCCCTGATCGCGCCGCGCCGGGAATTACGACTGCTTAGGAAACTAGCAGCTGCGTTTAGAATATCTTCACTGCGCATTCTTGCACCTTTATTCTGGGTTAACCTTTTAATTCCAGTACCAGCAGTTAAGGTGTTTATTTATGCAGTTGCAATTCGAACTCTTACTTTATGCAAATCTTATGGAGGGAATCAAAACTTTTCTAATACGAAAGTCTCATCAATGTACAAATACCGACTCTTGTAGTGCGTTAGCAATTCGAACTCTTACCGTGCTTTAAACTGTGCAACTAAACAGCGAAACCAATTGTGTCATAGGCGAATATTTGGTGCCGAAAGGCGTCACCGTATCCGTCTATATTTACGCGATGCACCGAGATGCCGACGTTTTCCCTGACCCCGAGCGATTTGAACCGGACCGCTTCGATTCGCACGGCGAAGGCAGCGATACTTTCAATACGGCTTTCGATTACGTACCATTCTCCGCGGGTCCCCGCAATTGCATTGGTAAATGGAAATTCAGCAATTAACTGAGAAAAAAACTTATTACTAGGAGATAGCACCTTAAGAGAAGAAATTTGGAATGGGTATAAATCCGTAAATTCATATATTATTAATTTCTGCATACAATCTGTGTATCGTATGCGCAACATAAGTACAGAGTACTTACGGCTGTTATGTGCATAGGTCAGCGGTTCGCGCAAATGGAGGAAAAGGTCATCTTGAGCACACTACTGCGTAACTTCATCATGGAATCCATTGTACCCATGGAAGAGTTTGCCATTCAAGGCCAGCTGATTACCCGTCCTGTCCATGGACTTTATGTCAGATTCAAAAAGAGGGCCGAGGATCTCTGAACACCACCATAATCGTCAAGATTTTGTTTTGTTTACAAAGGAATTCTGAGATGAAAAAAATGAAACTTCCAATACCATTTTCTATACTTCCAGTATACTACTGCTGATTTTCGTAGTATAACGCATACTACTACAAAGTACGTTGGTTTACGATTCATCAAACGCAAAAGTACATCCATGGCTGTTGCACAGAATGAAGAGTTTGATGGTCAAAATAAAGAGGAAAATAGAAGGCAACAAACACAAAAAGCGAATAAAAAGTAAAATCTCCATAGGAATTTCATAAGCTTCATACCAGCTCCACCGAAGGCGGTTGTCTCCATCCACTGAACAAACAGCGCGGCATTAGTACAAAATAATGTTAAACCAATTTCTTCATAAAATTCACTTGCACCAAACGCCCATGTGCATTTTTTGCACATTGCCTTTTTCATGACCTCTTAGCTTTGGCAGGTATACGGATTAGTTTCGGTATTCTGGTGTTTCTAAGAAATACTAAAATGTATGTACAAGTAGAAACTCCTCGTACAAAATAAACCCAGTGTCATAAGCCGGCGTAGTCATACATAATTATCTGCATTAGCATCGACTGTGGGAACCGGTACTGTCTATCGTGACTCGTGAGCATACATTCAGGTGTGCAGTACATACTACATCCCCCATCAATAATAAAAATATGAATCATAGTAATATCGGTACATCAATTTAGACGTTAACTCATACGGGAAACGTATGAATCACAATCACCCTTAAATCAGTGTTTTTTTTGTCTAGAAAAAGACAAAATTTGTCCTGGAAGTTTTTTGTCGTAATCCGACATAATATAATAATTTTGTCGGTACAAATTGTGCCCTCCCCGCCCCCAATCGTTTATGAAATTAATTGCGGTTGCGGTTGTTGAAATATTAAGTATATTATCCGGTATATGTATTCTGTAGTACGACACTAGTAATTTTATTGCGCTTGTGCGGATTCATTTGTTTAGGCGCTTTTCTTTATTAATCAGCAGGGCGATTTGGATTCGGTAGTTGTGGTGTATGTATAAATGTTGCAATAGTTTTCGACTGATACAGATATGTAACCGGCATCGAACAGTTAATTAATCCCAGTTCGGGCAAAATTATATTCATCCTTTCCTGGAAAAAGAAATTTTGCTCACTGTATTCTGCAGACAGCTGCCGGTTTCTGTGTGGATGGTTTGTACAAACCATCCACTCCAATTTGGCTTGATGAGCATTAAAATTTAAACTTGAGGTTCGATTGTGAAGCAATTAGAGATTCATAACGGTGCAATGCGAACAATAGCCGTGCAACAGTTCGCCAAAGCAAAGAAATACGAGCATCGTAGACAAGCATCAATTCGGAATAAAATGTGGCTGCACTGTTCAGACGATTTCAAAATCTTTTTCTAAAGACGAGCCTGATGCTCCCGGTTGTTATCCCAATAAATTAAATAGTTCCATATGAGCTGCCACCGGTAATTATTTATTTGGAAGCGTAAGACCAGTGACATCAAGATTTAGTGGTGCAGTGCTGTATGGCGCTTACGATCGACTGAAATATCAAGTTTTGAGTTTTCATCACACTTGACAACTTTTGCCGCGCGCAATTGAACTGCATGGCGCATTCAGCCGTTGCGACGCGACTCCGTGTGAAATCCTGATATGAGACGTTTTTGATAACAGTAATGCGAGTGTTATCATGTACGCGTCCGTGCGCGTCTGCTGCTGGAGGTCAGCCATTAGCTGACTAATGTCTTCTGTTAGTTAATGAATAGAAGTAGGAAAAATAAAAATAAACAAAGTATTACAGTACTTCGGCGGTTTTCTTTATAGACTGTAAGTATACTGTTACCGTGTACATATATAAGTATACATATAGCCATATAGGTAGATATGTTAAGTATCAATGTATTGTAACAGTGGCCTATCTGGCTACTGTTCTAGTGGGGTGGCGATCAGCCTTTACCACGATTAAACGGCTGTTGGTGTGAAAGGTGGCACGGCCGGCAACGATGCTGGCCGAGGACGCTCTTACAGATGTAACGCAATTACACAGGTGGCTCCGATTGGGATGACGCTAGTTCATCCCAAGCGGTCAAACGCAACAACGTAACTCAAGGCATGTTTAATGACAAGGGAATCAAGAACACAGCAAGGTTGTAAGCAAGGGTTTCAGCAAGAGGAACAATCAAGTAGATGCAAGCTGTAGCAAGCTGAGCACAAGACTGAATTCTAGAAATTCAGGAGAAAGGAAACTAGCCGGTAACGGGGACACAAATTCATAACGCGATGGAATGAATCATAACTGGGCGGTCTTATCGTTCGTACAAATACTATCGCTACATCCCTCACGGTAGCGATGAGATATACTTGTCTCATCAAGACAACAAAACGAAAGACGTAGGAAAACAGGAAAACAAAGCGTTAGGAATTAGTAAACAATAGAACACAATGGTCCGGGATGATCCTTAACGTACGGCGTGGTGGTCCCTCACGTTGTACTACCACGAGAATCCATCCGGCGATCGGAAGGATCCTACAGTCAGGTTCCGCTGAGAATGTCCGGGATTGGGAAGGGGTCCCTCACGGTATCCGGAAATTTTCCGCGTTCTTCCGGCGGCGTGGGGAGGGTTTGGGTGTATCGGCAAAATTTAATGTAGCTGTAGGTATGTTTAGCCTGTGCGGGTTGCTAAACATCATCTGATAGAATGGAGAATTGCTAATATACTCCAGTGTAGAATTAAGACCATCGACTGTAAGTTCGCGTTTAGCCGGTCTGGGCGATAATGTACTCGGAATCTCTGGATCTGTGTGACGTACAGCCACTGAAGCAAGCGTCTGTGAGGATTGTGCGGTTGCTTCATTGTCCTGTCTGCACTGTGTGGGGGCACATAATGTACTCGTACTGTCCGCATTAATATGCGATAATTTTTCCAATAACTGCATTCTGGCTTTTGTTTGCGGTGTAATATTCGTTTCGGAATCAATCGAGCAATTTGGCACAGTTGAAGTCGTAACATCGTTGACACAGTTGTTAATGTAAGGCGTATGAGGCTGAAACAATTTAGCTGTACCCAGATTTTGGCGTTGTTCCGTTAATATTCGTGAACATCGTGCTACGGAAGCATTCACACGATCAGCGTAAAATGTACTTTCAGTGATAGTGTAAAATACGGGAGGGATATACTCATGTCCATAAGGACCTCCCTTTTTATACTCGTTCAACCTTTGCCTTGTTGACTGTTCCAGAAGGAATTTCCCTTCCGCCATACCATCTGTTCTACAAACCCATCGTATTGTTTTTGAACGTTGGCCTTAATATCGTCAGGGCAAATACGCGGTATAGTATGCTTGTCATCGCAGCTAAAATTCTTACATTCGCCATACGAATGGAAAAAATCACAACATTTCGGGCAAAATAATTTTCCGTTATTCAATCTGTAACTGTCGAAATCTATGTATTTCGGATGTACCTTTTTACTTACGTCGAAAGTTTTGCGATTGTAATATTTCGTGTGGTCACGCTTACGCAAATTACAGCGATATCGCAAAGAATAAGGTTCAGTGCTGCGCGCACTATCGGGCGTGTAACTGCGGTACGGCTCACGGTAATATGTCCGATCGCTCTCGGACGAGTGATTGCGAATTTCCCGGTAATGTGAACGCTCCTTTTCATTACTGTAAGTACTTTCACGCGAGTAGGGACGGTGTTGTGAACGATACCGTTCTGTACGTGCACGGTCACGGTCTGCACTGGGCGACCGGCGCTCTCTGTAATGTTCACTGCGTAAGTCATTGCGGCGCGGGCTGGATGACCGGCGGTTATCTGAATCGCTGGAATCACAGTAATATTTGTGGCGATGGTTGCGATAATGTTGTGCATTGTCGGAGGTTGAATTGGGACTGAATGCGCGTCCAGTTTGGTGCGTACGCTCAGTGGCCGCACCTCTTCGCTGTGTATTCCCAAGCATCATGTTCTGTTCTGCAGCTCTCTTTAACTGGGCGTTAGTATCTGTAATTTTGCAAGCCGGTTGGGGAAGGAATACAGGCTGGACAGCAGACGTTGTTCTTGGGCTGTATATGATTAATTTCGGCAGGGAAGACGCGCTGGCAAGCTTATCTTTACAGTGTTATAATATAGACGGCTATGTTAATAAATCTGCTGAGATTCCACTGAACTGTTGGACCGAGACCAGTAATGTTTTCTCTGAGCTCAGGCAGTCTCTTGTGTACTGCAGGGTGCAGACCAGGACGTTTTGGCGCGAGCAGACCAAGGCGGCACAGTGGCGCCGGGTGAACAACGTTAATGTAACGGCCAACGAGAGCACAAACAATTAATTTCAACAAATTTTACCAGTTAATGTAAGCGCACGTAATTTTAATATTGTTACAAAATGATGGCATTAGAACACGTGTTAAAATTAATGTAATCTTCGCGAATGTAAATCTAGTGCAAGAAAACAGCAAAATTTGCAAAAACAGTGTTAATATATGCGCACTGGATGTTTTAGATATTAAGACCGAATAAGGCAAAATTCACCGGTTACAAATTGCACAGTCAAAACTCACGAAGGAACCTCCACTGGTTCTTGTGGGAAGTTGCGATGGTATATAAATCGCTGATATAGGCTGCAGGCGTCCAGGCGGTATGGTTCTTTTACAGGAGCGCCATGTAACAGTGGCCTATCTGGCTACTGTTCTAGTGGGGTGGCGATCAGCCTTTACCACGATTAAACGGCTGTTGGTGTGAAAGGTGGCACGGCCGGCAACGATGCTGGCCGAGGACGCTCTTACAGATGTAACGCAATTACACAGGTGGCTCCGATTGGGATGACGCTAGTTCATCCCAAGCGGTCAAACGCAACAACGTAACTCAAGGCATGTTTAATGACAAGGGAATCAAGAACACAGCAAGGTTGTAAGCAAGGGTTTCAGCAAGAGGAACAATCAAGTAGATGCAAGCTGTAGCAAGCTGAGCACAAGACTGAATTCTAGAAATTCAGGAGAAAGGAAACTAGCCGGTAACGGGGACACAAATTCATAACGCGATGGAATGAATCATAACTGGGCGGTCTTATCGTTCGTACAAATACTATCGCTACAGTATCGAGCTGTATTAATTTAGTTAGATGAGTTTAACTTGACCGCCGGTATACCAGGTATTTGGGCTTTTGAAATAATTTAATTTTGCACTTATCACACAGTCTATAAACATGCACAGTCTATAAGC